GGCTGGGTGCATGGAGGGAGCCGAAGGCAAAGCCGGAGAGAGGATGGGGAGGACAAGGAGGAGGACGTGAGATTTGGAATGAAGGAAAGCTCCTGGGTGGGATGGGGGGGGGAGTCAGGAATGGTGTCTGAGGACAAGCTGGCACGGCCAAGGTTTCGGACACCTGAGCCAGGGCAATGTCGAGGCTGCCCTGAGTGAAAGGAAAGCCTGTAATAGAGGCGAGAATGGAGAACCAGCCCAGGGAGAGTCAACCGGGCTGTGGCCACTGAGAAGCTCAGGGTGGGCACACAGACCAGGCCACTGTCTACACGCTGCGGTCAACAGACCGTCTTGCATTTACCCCACCCTGCGGAGTTCAGAGGGGATTTGTGCAAACATCTAGGTCCTACTTACATCAGGATTTGGGAATCTTCACTAACAAGAGCTTTTTAGCCCTCCATCAAAGAAAATAGCACTTCAGGCAAAAACAACAAATTATAATCCACAGCTCCTAAAATGTATCCTTTTCTTCCATAGGTATCATTTCAAGATGTTTTGGCTCATGCGATAATGAAATAAGCCACAGGCAGGCAGTCAATCCCCAAGTATTTGAAAGGACTTCCCTTATTTTTATTTTTATTTGAGATTTAAATGCACTTTTTTTTTTTTTTTTAGCCCTGGCAAAACAGCTCGCTTCTAGAAGCCTCGGTTCTCTCGTCTGTAAAATGGGGTGGATAACAGGCTCCTGTAAAGACTACAGGAAAGAGCTAGAGCGTGCACAGCGCCAAAACCTCAAGGCATCCGCACCTCCCGAGGGTCCCCCGCCCCGCAGCTCGAGCCCAGGGAGAAACATTCCGGGGTCGACAGCAGCCTGGTGCACCCGAAGCTTCTCCCGCAGTCAGCAGTGCGCTGTAAAACAGCTTTGTAAGTGCTCACCAACAAACACACGCCGGGAAGAGAAGCCGGGGCTCTCAGGGAAGCAGGTGCACAGACCTGAGAGGCGCAGGAAAGGAATACAGTTGGGCTGGGAGGGAGCACGCGCCAGCTGTCACACGGTGCTCCTTTCAGCACGAGCGGGGCTATTCAATCATTACAGGAAGAAAAGGCGCCGCTAGAACGTTGTCTTTAAAACCGCCATAATGAAGGGGCGCCTGGGTGGCTCAGTGGGTTAAAGCCTCTGCTTTCGGCTTGGGTCATGAGCCCAGCATCGGGCTCTCTGCCCAGCGGGGAGCCTGCTTCCTCCTCTCTCTCTGCCTGCTTCTCTACCTACTTGTGATCTCTGTCTGTCAAATAAATAAATAAATAAAAATCTTTAAAAAAAAATCGCTGTAATGAAAATCACACTCAACACACTCATACAGTTCTTTTCCGCATTTCACGCGTAACGACCTACTTTCTTCCAGCGCCACGCCCCCCGCCGGCGTGCGACTCCCTTGTCCGCCTGACATCTCCTCCCACCGCATGTCCTGAAGACAATCCCCGCCCCTGGCCACCGGGCTACCACCACTGACCTGTCCTTTGGGCCATCTGCTCGGGAGTCCTCCCGTCCCGGACAGCACAGCGGCAGCCAGGGGAAGCGCACGCGGGGCTGCATTACACCGTTCTCCCTGCTTCTGAGTAGGTGAACATTTCCAGGGCGCCTGGGTGGCTCAGTCGGTTTAGCGTCTGCCTCCAGCTCACGTCATGATCTCAGGATCCTGGGTTCGAGCCCCGCATCAGCTCCCTGCTCAGCTGAGACCCCGCTTCTCCCTCTGTTTCTGCCCCTACCCCCCTGCGCATGCGCACTCTAGGGCGCAGGCGCTCTCGAATTAAAAAAAAAAATTCCATAATACAGTCTCTCAAAAGTCACTTTTTAGCATAAGAAATGACAGAAAAACACGGTGTGTCATCCCGAGTATACCCTTTCCACCTGTCCGTGAACCCGAAGTGCCGCTCACCCTCAAACCAGTCCCCTGGCTGGTGGCTGGCTCCTCGAGACTCCCTGGCGTGTTTTATGTGTCATCAAAGTTTCCGACATGCTGAACATGGTTTGCGGTTATTTTCTAGAATAGTAAGCATGTGCACTGTCCACATTCGCTTCCCTTGGCCTGAGACTAAAAGAAGAAAGCGTATTAGCTCATCTGCTCCCACTGGGGTTAACGCGAAGTCATTTTCCAAGGGTTCTGTGGGACGACGGGCTCAGGGAAAATCTAAAAGGGCTGGTGTTTTAAAGCCTGAAAACAAAACGTCGGGGTGGGGGGGTATTTAAGAACGAAAAACATGTTTTCTCGGGAAAGGAGCTTAGAGAATCACGGCATGGGGAGGTCACACACAGGTGCGCAGCGTCCTGCCGGCCTGCGTGAGCGCCCGCGCCCCGCCAGCCCACGCCCCGCCGGCTCCACCGCCCCTCATCCTCCTTTGGAATGACCGCCACCTCCTCCAGGCTGCCCCACTCCACATGCGGAGCCAGGAGCAGCTCTCAGCTCCGAGAAACCAGGCCCAGGGACAGGAAGTGCCCGCCAGCGGACCATGAAGGCCTGGGTCTTCCCTGACCTGAGTGCTCCTGGTGGCACAACAGGGACAGTGACAACAAGCGACATTCTGGGTGCTGCTACATGCCTGGCGCTGTCACACACATGTTACCCATATTTCCATCTGGTCTCCCAACTCTGAGATCAAGGAATTTCATGGCAGAGGAAATGGACCAAAACCAAAACAAACAAACAAACCACTTTGCCTGCAGAGACGGGAGTGGGAAAAAGTCTTGCACAAGGAGCCACAGCTAAGAGCCAGGACACAAAGGCGGGTGGGCACCAGAGCTCTTTATGATGCTATCGAGGTTTTGCAAAGCTCAATTTAGAGGTGAAATGCCAAGACAAGGTTGATAACCTGCTGGAAGGAGGACAGACATCTTGGGGAGATGGTCTGCAGGGAGATGGAACACCGAGTCGGCCTCTCAGCTCCTCAAAGAGCTAAATTCTATCAACTCCTCTTAGAGGATCCACCTACAGAACGGACTCCTCTAAGAAGCCAGAAGCCCAACCTACCAAGTGACAAGAACTGCAACTTGGAAGAAAACCAAACACTCAGGGTCTGCAGTTGAGTTCACCCTCCTCCCAGACAGCAAAATCTACACGGGAAACCAAGTCACCACCGGCGTATTGCTTGGTAAACACTTAGGTAGTGGGATGCCTCATGTCATAGGAATCTAGAGCAGTGACAAGACAATACCAAGGCCAATCATCCTGGGTTTCTGGGACAGTCCTGATCGCCAGCACCCTGTTTATAGTCAGGCCGTCTGTCGTGAGTAACTATCTCACACATATGACCTTCCTGCCAGGATGGTGGTTATCTACCCTCTGCCTCATTGCCAAGGCTGTGTGGATCACACTTTTCGAATAACATACTTACCTCAAAAACCAATATAACTGTGTAGTTCGTTATAATTATGCTCCGGTTTTGAGAAAACACCCTTACTTTGTAGACTCAAAAAACACACGGGTCTGTCAGCTGGAAAGTACTTCCCCGTTGTCACACATCAGGTGACCCAGGCAGGTCACCATCGTCAGTGCTGTGAGGACTCCAGCCTCCAATTTCAGACACTAATGCTTTTTTGTCCCACACTTGGCATATGAAACCCTTTCACAAGGAGAGACCCGACCTTCCCCATCTGGGGAAAGTGAGGGCATTAACCCAGGTTAGGGGCTAGAGTGGAAGGTTGCAGGAGGGGATAAGCTCTTCCTGGGAAAAGGGAAAGGTCAAGCTTGACTCAAAAGCTATGCTCACATCTAGATTATGTTCCAGAATCTGGTGAAAGTTCTCACTTGAAAAAGGCTTCTGCCTCTTTTTAAAAAGTTTACAAACCACAGATCTGGATGATCTTCCACGGTCTTTTCTACGTGTTAGATCATGTTTTTGATTCTTAAAATTCTCTTATTCAGAAGATTATTTGGAAAGTGCCTTACTCTGTGACAAGACTGCGTTAGGCATGGTGGTTCAACACTGTTCCAACAGTGAACATCATGCTAACAAGGACAGATTCTGCCCTCATGGAACCTACTAACAGTTTTCCTTTTTTGTTTTGTTTACAGAAATGGAAGAGTAGGGCACCTGAGTGGCTCAGTTAGTTAAGCGTCTCTTGGTTTCAGCTCAGGTCATGATCTTGGAGTCGTAGGATTGAGCCCCAAGTCAGGCTCCGTGCAGAGCATGGAGCCCACTTGAGATTCTCTGAAAAGATTTTATTTATTTGACAGAGAGAGAGAGATCAAAGTAGGCAGAGAGGCAGGCAGAGAGAGGGGGAAGCAGACTCCCCGCTGAGCAAGGAGCCCGATGCGGGGCTCCATCCCAGGACCCTGGGATCATGACCTGAGCGGAAGGCAGAGGGTTTAACCCACTGAGCCACTCAGGCACCCCAAATCTTTTTTTAAAAAAAACTGAAGAGTAATATAAATACACGTCCACAGGCAGAGCCACCCAAAAATTTATGTTTCAAGTGTTAAAATTTCAAGATTCCTGAAACCCAGCTGGTACATATTTCTTCTTTGGACATTGGCGCAAGTGTTTCTCCTCCTCTGCCGACAATTACTCAGACGACAGGCCGAACGATGCTGCTGAAACCAGCTGTAAGTTGAAAAATCAAACTAGACTGGATTTTATTAAGTATATATAAATAGCCCCTATTCTTCTTTATTTCATCACTTTGGGGAAGTTAAGTGGAGATTAGGTGAAAAGCAGTAATACTAGGTGTAGAGCCATGACAGCCAAAAGGGAGTCAGTGAAACTGTATTCCAGCCCGCTCTGCCACTAGATCTGCGGTCAGCGAAAGGCAAGCAGTGCCACGTCCTCGCTGGAGAAGGAGGTGGTCGGCAGAAATAGATGTTGCCCGAGGTCACGTGCTGCTCTAAAACTGCTCTGTCCTAATTCAATTATTAGGCATAAATGCTACGAACTAACTACATACGGCAGGCACTCACCATGAAAAGTAAACGAACGCTGAACTCAGAGGAATATTTAAGGAAGACGAGAAACACTTGCTGCTTTTTAAAAATGCAGTAACTATTTTATTCACACTAATTAGGACATATACACAAAAAAATGTGTATCATATGTTGCTTTCAAAAAATTCTATGTTCCATGAGAACTATGTAATAAACAGTGTAAAATGTTTCTACTGCATAACAAAGGAAGAAAAATCAGCATTCCCATGTAGTATTAGGAAAATATTTAAGATAATTTGAAGTTATAAGTAAACAAAGTGAAATATTACAGAACAGTCTTTTCAGGAAGTAGATGTTATAGTCTAGAAGCAATACATTTCATACTCTGATACTCTGAAACACTTTGGTATAAGTGAAATTAATACAAAGCAAAAAAAAACAACAACAACAACAAAAAAAAACCCCAAGAAACTCTACTTTGGTTCACATTAATTGAAAGTTTAGCAACGAGGCAACTGCACAGCTACCTCAGATGACAAAATGGAAAACCTCCCGTCTGCACCCCCGTCCCCGTGCCGCCGCTGGCTGACATGGAAGTGCCGGGAGAGCACTTCCCAGGACTTCGGGGCCACAGGAGCATCTCATGTCCACCACTCTGTGCTCAGCCAGTGCTTGAAAGGCTTCATAAAACCTCAGATTCAACTTGGAATATAAGCGATCTTGGTTACTTCCTCTTAGACACAAATGACCCCGCAGTAAAGCAGCTCAGAACTACAACTCACATTTAAAGTAGAAAAGTAGAACGCAAATTTTTGGAAAATCATATAACTACAGTTTCTCAAGAAGTCCATACTTGAATAAAAGAACATACTACATTAATTTTAAAAAATGCAAGTTTAATAACCCACTGACAGTAAGTTTTTAAGAAACAGAAATAACCGTCTGCATGCCACAAATATTTCTTCATCGATATCAAGCATTACTTTGACAGCTGCACAACTAACCTGATCTGAGGAATTTTTAATTGCATCATTTTTAAAATTACATTTTCTTATCCATACTGTCCAAACATGGTACTGATTTTCTTCATTGTCTTTTTGTTCTGCGTGTTATCTTTTAAATGACTTCCTACTTGTGAGAATTCTTTCTGAGCAAATGTTGATGAACCACTTTTTTGTCATCCATCACAGGAGCAAACTGGGAATGTCCTCTGAGAGTTTTCTCAGCAATGTAATTTCTACTCCAACTTTCTGGAAAGACAAGAAAGTCTTTAAAAGAAAAAAGAATCCTTGGTGAACTTTGCAAACTTACAGTAATAATATACTAATGCACTGTTGCTCCTTCCTGAAGTAAAAGAATATTCTATCACGTGCTCAGCTTTACCACACGTGCACCATTAACTGCCTCCAAAGAACACAGCATGTGAGACCAAGACCTCAAGGCTCCGGAAGGGGCAGAGTGCGGGAGGGAGTGTTCAGTGAGATTAACTAGCGTGGTAGATCTTCGGAACAAAAAGAGTATAGAAGGTAAAAGAAAAAATTTCTGTCAAGTTCATGTGAGGCTTTTTAAAGAACAATTCTAAAAAGGACGAAAGGAGATAAACATAAAGAATTATTCAAAAAGGGGGCGCCTGGGTGGCTCAGTCGGATAGGTGTCTGCCTTCTGCCCAGGTCATGATCCAGGGTCCTGGGATCAAGTCCAGCATCAGGCTCCCTTCTTGGTGGAGAGCCTGCTTCTCCCTCTCTCTCTGCCTGCCTCTCTGCCTGCTTGTGATCTCTCTCTCTGTCAAATAAACAAAATCTTAAAAAAAAAAAAAAAAAACAGTATCAGGAACTTAAGTTCCTGCCCAAATTTAACAACCAAGTATAAGAAGAAAGAAAACAATGAACAATGAACAAATAATGTGTGAAATGAAAGGTCTTAGTTTTTCATATTAGGTGAATCCTAATAGAATTAGGTGATCCTAGAACTACATTGTTTGGGTTTTGTTTTGCTTTGTTTTGCGGAGAGAGACGTCAGGGGAACTTAAGTCATTTCAAAATTCATTTGGAACAAGAGCCAAGACTTACAGTATACTAAGACCTTGCACTGCCAGACAGTAAAATCCATCAAGTTACAATCACTAAAATGCCGTATTTCACGAAGTTTAAGACACCATCAAACGTTAAGATGCACTGTTATTTTATGTACCCACACAAAGAAAAGGAAAGTAGCTCAGGATACGGAGTCTAAAAGGAGACAGGGACCACCTCAGAAAGTGGGGACACTGGATGGCTACAGGCTCAATGAGGGGTAGAAAAAAATAACCCTTCCTCTACAAGGGACAGCAGAGAAGTCTCTGACAATGGGAAGAGGAGAAAAAATATTCCTTGCTATTTGAACTGGTCCCCCAGCCCTGCCAACCCACAAATTTTGTGGTCTGAATTCACACTAACAGCAAAGTCCAAAATATCTCAAGCACAGAAATTAGGTTAAGAAGATTCGAGTTGGTACTGCTCCCCCAGCCCCATAAATGGCAGGAAAAAAAATGCAAACCATCTGGGGAAGAACTCAACTGCCATCCAGGCCATAGATGACTAGAAGAGGTAATCCAATTTTAAAGATAAAATGTGGAATTTATATGACTTGAAATCAGTAAAATACGGTAGGCAGATAAGTTCCTGCCCAGTAGAAGAGATGTCCAAAAGCCTAGAAAACAAATGCTGGGTACACTTATCATGATGAGCGCTGAGTTAAGTTTAGAAGTGTTGAATCACTACATTGTACACTTTAAATGAATTTAAAACCGTATGTTAACTACACTGGAATTAAAATTTTTTAAAAAATCAATTTTCTCATCAAAACAAAACAAAACAAACACTGGGCATATAATAAAAATGTCAAACCAGAGCATATCATAGAAACATCAATGACAAAAGGGTACATTTTAATATATGGCACAGCCAAAAAAACTAAGAAAAAAGTTAAATCCCTCTATTCTTCTAAACTATGTTCTTCTAAACTATGAAGTTAAGTGAAAAACAAACTCATTTAAGAAAAAATTAAGCATAATTATCGAAATGATAATCTCAAAAGACTGGCCAACATTTTTTTTTCTTTTTTCTTTTTCTTTTTTCTTCTTTTGTGACAGAGAGAGAGAAACAGGGAGAGAGGGAACACAAGCAGGGGGAGTGGTAGAGGGAGAAGCAGGCTTTCTGCTGAGCAAGGAGCACAATGCGGGGCTCGATCCCATGACCGGAGCCAAAGGCAGATGCTTAACAACTGAGCCACCTAGGCACCCCCGGCCCACCTATTTTTAAAACATGCTCTTTACCCACCCAACGCCCCAAAAGCCAAAGCATAAGCAAAAATAAAAGGCAAATGTCAAAGTGGAAAACAACTCCGCAGTGACAAAGGGCTAATATCCTTAAAATATCATTAACTATAAATCAGTTAGAAACAAAAATACCCGGGGCGCCTGGGTGGCTCAGTGGGTTAAGCCGCTGCCTTCGGCTCAGGTCATGATCTCAGGGTCCTGGGATCGAGCCCCGCATCGGGCTCTCTGCTTGGCGGGGAGCCTGCTTCCCTCTCTCTCTCTCTCTGCCTGCCTCTCTGTCTACTTGTGATCTCTGTCAAATAAATAAATAAAATCTTTAAAAAAAAAAAAAAAATACCCTACACCACACCTCCACACCTTTTGCTCAAAGGCCAAGACTAGACAACTGACAACAAAGACAAATGGCCACTGAAATGTACCAATAATGCTATATTTCACTAGCGTTGGAAATACAAACTAAAACAATGATAAACAACTCATGCAATTGTTTATCAGCAAAATTTTTTAAAATGGTAATACCCAGTATTGGCAAGGATACAGGAAAACCAGCACTTATACAGACATGAAAATTGAGCAACCTTTCTGAAATGCAATTTAACAAGAGGTGTAGATTCAAAATCCTTTGCAAATGTGCAGTACGCTTAGATCCAACAATGCTACATGTAGGAATTTATCCCGAACAGATTTGTGCAAAAGGTACATGCAACTGTATGTCAGATTTATAATAAAGTTGGAAATACATCTAAACACCTAACAATGGCAAATAACTTACTTTAATAGAACTATAAAATGGAATACAATGCAACTATTAAATATTACGTATCCCAGAGCACTGTTTGTACTAGTGAAAGATTAGAATAACCTAAATGCCCATCAACAAAGAATTGGCTAAAAAAACTACAGCGTAGCAGTCAGTGGGACACTACACTATCATTACAAACAACAAGACAGCTCTTACGTCCTGACAGCTCTACTTCTCTCGGTCTGAAATGATCTTCTCTCCCCAAATACCCACCCGGCTTACTTGCTTCGACGACACCTGATCAGTGACAGTGTCCCTCACCATCTTAGGATAGCAACTTGTCCCATCCCACGTGCGCTCCCTCTCTCCCTTACCCTGCTGTTCTATTTTTACCATCTGGCACACTGCAATCATTTATTTACTGCCCATTATCCCCCAGAGGAAAAAAGATCTTACCTGTATCAGTGCCCACACTTCCCTCCTTCATCTGTTCCAGGAAAGATGTATCCCTGCTCCTCTCCTGAGGCTAAATGCTTCACACGGCCTTGGCCTCTTCCTGCATTACCTTTTCAAGTATTTCCCTCCACAATTACCCCTTTTACTTCTGCCTTATCAATTTCACCCTCCAATACTGGATCATTCTCAGTAGCAAACAAACACACCTTAATATCATAAAGTGTCCCCGTCTCATTTCTATTATCCTTCACAGCAAAACTCTTTCCTCTCTGACCCTTACCTCTCCTCCACCCACTTTACCTCAGCCATGACATGAAAACACCTTTGCTCAAGGTCACCAATGATGTCCTACGTTTGCCTCAAACCAATGGCCAAGTCTTGGTTCTTGACCTTGACCTCTCTCTCAGCAGCACTGGACACTGCTAACTACTCTCTCTTGAAGCAATCTTTTCTCAGGTTCCCTGAGCTCACAAGCCCCCAAATCTCCTCTCACTTCAATGGCTCCTCCTTGTCCACCAGACCTCTTCTCTACCTACATACTTCAAGGTGATCTCATCCCATTTCTGGCTTCAAATGACTACATATATGCTGATGATTGGTTTTAAGGTCATTACCTTGAGCTCTGAGCTTCAGACCACCGGCTCCAAAACATCAACCACTGACTTAACACAACAGAACAGATTCCCATTCTCACACCTCACCAAAAAACTATGCTTTGTCCACAAGCCTTCTCAGGAAAAAGTACCATAATCCACCCAGCTGCTCACACCAAAATCCTAAGAGTCATCCTCAACTTCCTTCCTTCCTCCCTCACGATGAACTTATCTGGAAGTCCTGGACTTCCCTCCCTGCAAAACAGATCTGCACTCAACCATCTCTCACCACCCCTACTACTAGAGCCCTAGTCAATGCCACCACACCAGCCTCTTAATAATTCTCCCTTCCTCTCTCCTTGCCAGCCTCTGCCCTCCACCCAACACCCAGACAGAGCGTTCCTTCTGAAGTCTAAGCCAAGTCACATCACTCCTCCCATTAAAACCCTCCATGTTTCCATTATACTTAAGAGAGTAGAATACAAAGGCCTTACCAGCTTCCTCATAAGCAGGCCTGCCACCTCTGACTCCTCTCCTCCTGTGCTCCCCTTCATCACCCCCAGCGATACTGGCCTGCTTTCTGTCCTGCAGACGTGCCACGTCTGTTCCCATCTCATGACCTTTGCAGCTGCCCTTCCTCCTGCTTGGATCGCTCTCCTCATATCCTCAGATGTCCGCCTCCCTCTCATCTTTCAAATTTCAACTCCAATGTTGTCATCTCAGCCAGGCCTTCCCCAGAAGCAACCCATCACCCACATCTTCCTAGTTTATCTCCACGAGACCTATCAGTATCTGAAATTTACTTATGGATTAGAGAACAGGTTGACTATCGATCTCCTCCCAGGAGAAGATAAATTCTTTAAAGGTGAGAATCCTATCTTATTTTCCGCTTATCCACAGCATGAAAACTGGTGTCTGGCACATAGTAAGTACCAAATAAATATTTGAGGACCAAATAAGAGACTATTTTGTAATTGAAAATCTGAACTGGGGTAGTTTTTGACATTACCTTTAGTTTATTTTACTATTGTAATTCCAGAAATGGTGAGAACTGATAAAACTGTATCAAGAGTCTGATTATAAAATAGCTTTTCAGACCTCTTACCTACTCTGTTGACTAAGACTCCCTAATATACATTAGGAAATTATCTAAATGTACACTAACAGAAAACTGGCTAAATAAGATGGAACACAGCCACACAAGAAATTACTATGTAGCCGGAAATTACTATGTAGCCATGAAAGAGAATGAAAAAGATACAAGCTAACACAGAAAGCTGTGCAAGTTATAAGGCTGATCGAAAACATCACGTTGCAAAACAATACATTCAATGAGATCCCTTTGTTTTTACATGCACGCGCATTTGATTGGATGTGCACGGGGCAATCCACGGAAACCCTATTGAAAGCGGTTATCTCTCCAAAAATAAGAAGGTGGAGGCTGAACTTAACATTTATTACTTGAAAATTAAAAGTGTCAGAAACAGGGTGCCTGAGTGGCTCAGTCAGCTGAGCATCTGCCTTCAGTTCAGGTCATGACCTCTGGGTCCTGGGATGGAGCCCTGCATTGTGCTCCCTGCGAAGTGGGGAGTCTGCTTTTCCCTCTGCCTGCCACTCTCCTTGCTTGTGTGCTCTCTCTCTCTCTGACAAACAAAGAAATAAAATCTTTAAAATAAAATAAAAAAATACAAGGATTAGCTATAACTGCCAATGTCTTTTCCCCCTTACTCATGTCTTAAATGTACACACAGTGTCTGGAACTATGGGTGTCATCTCATAATTATGGATTAAGAGTCAAAATGCAGTATAAAGATGCAACAGTGATATCATTCAACAGATGAACCCTTCCCGTTACACAAGAAAAATAAACCTCTATTCATTTGAGGTACTGTGAATGGGATTCTGTTACCTACAACCAAAGGAATTCCTAACTGACATTCCTGGGAATATCTTTCAGAAAGAAACTGAAAATAAAAGAAGTCAAATTTTATGCAGAATTAGGAAGAAAATTATAACATGTCAGAAATGTAGTCTGCAAACCAATTCCCCCTCTTTAATGTCTCTATTCTGAATTTTTTTTAAAAAGAAAAAACACTAGGAAGAAACAGAAAAGAGAAAATTATAGTCAACATCAACTCCATAAAAAAGACTTCAGAGAGGCACCCAGCTGGCTCAGTCAGTGGAGCATGCGACTCGTGAGTTCCAGCCCCACGTTGGATATAGACATTACTTTAAAAAAAAAAAATTTTTTTTTTTTTTCAGGATGAAACATTCACAGTGTATGCACACAATAAAGATAGACTCACAGAGTGACACTGAAGTCCAATCAATGCTGGGGCTGTTCTGGACTGATGTTCATTGTTCGATAAATTTCTTTAAGTAACAACAGAGCAGTATCTTCAGATTCCCTATCACAAAGAAAAGAACATTTTTACTTAAGTAACCATTAGTAGAAATTAACCTCTATGCATAAAGGTGGAAAATGCAGCCCTTGTTCTAGTCAACTCTACCTAAGAAAGGCAAATGACAGCGTAGTCTTAAAGCTGTCCTTGTAAACTGGATGGACACTGATCAGCTACAAAACAGCTGTGTGCAATCCTCCACGGTGACAGGGGACATCTGAAAGGATGGCTTTTCAAAGTCCCTACCACTCCCATTCTATGAAAGGTATCCCTCCAAAATCAGTGTGCGAGTACCAAAGGCCTTGGTCAAAATGAGATGACACACTGCCATCTTGTGGATAATAAAGGGGGGAAATACTGATTTTGAATATATGGCACTTGTAATTAATATTCCATCATAAATGATAAATCCACTAAAGAGTCTCCCTAAAATGTATGTGCTAGCACCTAAAGGCCACGCGACTATTATCAAAGAAGAAACCACTTACCAATAGCATAAATGACTCTGAAGAGCGAAAAGATATTCATTAAAACTCTCTATTGGCTTTTCTTGAAGTACGTAGTCAATTCGGCGACCTCCGTTTAGCATTCCAACCTTTCCTAAGTAGTCCTCATCCTTGGAAAAATCTGGACTTTCAACAATCTTTTCTGCTAGAATTTAAACCATTTCAATATCAAAGTCAATCACTTAATCATTATCCTTTGACTTTAGCTGACTTTCTGGGCTCAAGAGAGTATCGCTTGACACACGTAGCAACCTGGGGAACTACCAGGCTCACTTCCCATTCCTCCAAAGAGCCAGGGGAAGGAAGAGGGGCTGGTTACCCGAGAGAGAGGAGAAAGAGCCAACGAGCTGACAGACGTTTTGAAGAAAAGGGGTGAGAGAACATTGTAGAAAGAAAGGAAACAGAATTAGAATCTGAAAGAGTCAAAAACATCCTGGCACAATGATCTGACAACGCAGACACAGTCTAGAATATAAGGACACCGTGAAACAGCAGTGTCAGGACGATAATTTCTTACAGTGGATCTTTAAAATGCCTGAATACAACGTTAGCTCTCAACTCTGATATTCCACTCTGGCCTTAGAAATCTCAACAAAAACTTAAGAACGCAGAGTAAAAAGTCCAGCAACTATCAGGCAAAAACCCAGAAAAAGAAATGACATGCATTGTGAAGTACAGTTTATCATAACAGATTTTCCTTTACAAAAGAACCTCTAACATTTTAACAGAAAGGACCAGAATGGAAAAGCATCATTAAATAATTCATATGTAATATGTTTACAAATAACATTTGTACTAGAAAATGCTTCTCAAATGTCAAATTTACCTTCAACTACTTGTTTTTCTTCTTCTTCTTTGATCTGATTGGCCACTTTCTCCAGTTCTTCTTGCAGCTGAGTTGAAGAGGTGTGAGCGCGGGCAAACTCGTTTAACGTCTGCCAAGCACTTTTCAGGGAGCTAATAAAGCCCTGTTTCAAATCAGATCCCATACGAGAGAGACTGTCTTTCAGCTCTAAGGAGATTAAGATGACATATCATGTCAGTTAGTCACTGGATAAAATTCTGCACCACAAAAACTGAAACTAAAGTTAACACTCTTCTCAGACAGGGTAAGTCCTCTTTTAAACGCCACAGTTTCTCGGCCAAGAACTCTCAATATATTAAAATGTTTTGTAGAGGGGCACCTGGGTGGCTTAGTCAGTTAAGGTCTGCCTTGGGCTCAGGTCATGATCCCAGGGTCCTAAGTTCAAGTTTCTCATCAGGCTCCTTGCTCAGCAGGGAGCCTGCTGCTTCTCCTTCCACCTGCTGCTCCCCCCTGCTTGTGAGCTCTCTCTGACAAACACATAAATAAAATTTTAAAAAAAGTTTTATAGAGCCTTATTCTGTCATTTTTTTTAACAACTAAAACTCATTCAGCCAAAATGTATAAGCTTCCTCTCTCCACAAAAGAAAAAAAAAAAAAAAAAAAAGGTGGGAAGGTAGAGTTCAAATATCGTAAAAATGTAGGCACGTTCATGTGCCTTTTTTCTGTAAGTTAAAAGATATGGGCCCCTCCCCTCTCATGCTCTCTCTCACTCTGTCTCTCTCTCTCAAAACAAATAAATAAAATCTTTAAAAAAAAAAAAAAAGACATGGGCCCACAAGATTAAAAAGATGACTGTTTTTTAATCTATAATCATAAAATGGTTTTGAGAATTTGAGATTTTAATATAACAACAATATAAACTTCTGATTTAAAAATGAAGAAACCCCTGCCCTTTCACCTTTTCTACTTTGTGGTCTAATAAATTCTATTTGAATTCAAGGTATTTGAGTCTCAAACTTCCCATTTTAACTCCAAAAGAGTTAAGTATTTTTTAATAGCACGATGTAAGCATCCCCCCCCCAAAAAAAGGAAGGAAGGAAGAACAGAAAAAAGAAAGAAAATCCAATTTTCAACAAAAGGATATGATCACTTTCCCCTTTTCTCCACTGCACTCCCATCCCTTCCACCCAAACCTTTAAACCTACGGATGATATACATCATTAACAGGTGTAAGAGAGAAATAAACCCCACCTGGAATTATTACTGATCCATTATGTTTAATGGATATTTTTAATTGGAAAAGTTTATATAGTTAGCAAGGAAGTAACAGCTCATTTGACTTAGCATCAAGTTTATTTCTTCTTGGTCCTTAGTTCAAGTGTTATTCTGCTTCCTAACTCCAGAAATTATGACCAAATTCTATCAATCTGATGTAGCTCATCACTTTAGTACTGACTTCCCCCATTCCTAAGTATCTCAACCATTAGAACACCACACCAAGAAGAAAGTCATCAAGGAGAAGCGACTCATTCAGAACTTTCTTTATAGCTCTTCTGAACATTTAATAAACAGGTTCCAAACACAGCAGGCACTTAAATAACATTAATTTTATGAGAAAGGATCTAGTGTTAAAATTTTCATGATTAAATTACAAATGACAGGAAGGACATAATTCGTTATGACTAACAGATTACAAAATGACAGAAAGGAAACAAGTTTTTATAGTATTTGCTTTTTACCTAAATGAAGTCTTTTTCTGCCTTTGTGATGTGGGATGAGAACCGCTTTCAGGTCCAAATCTGGAACAATCATAGGCTCTAATCTGTAAGCCACTGGATCAAGCTGTAAAGAAAAGTGGAAATTTAGGAAAAGTTCTTTTATCTTGAGTTATGTATCTTGACTGGGTGACAAAACGGGTAACAACAAACCAGAGATTTTGATTTTTTCACAAGTGGTAATTATAAGAAGACTTACTACTGGTAATTATAAGACAACTTCTAAATTGTGAGTAAAGCTGGCTTTGCAAGCAAAGCAACAGAATTATTTCCTTAAACAAAGGCTTCCTGGTAGAAAAGTTTATTGGACAGCATCAGACCATTCTCTATTAGGACAAAGAGTTGAGTTGTACATCAAAATGAGAGTTAGTTCCTAAGAAATAAGAATCTGAGACTCTATAAGGATGATCTAATAAGTGTTTCTATGTAGGTGTTTCATCTTTTTCAAAATAAAAAGTAGTTCAAGTCACTCACTGGATGATAAATATTGAAGAATCCTTTACACGTAGGAAGTCTGTAGTTCTCATCTATTCTATCCACTCCTCGAATAGTGAGAAACATACCAACTGGAGATCCCAAGGCAAAGAAAATCTCTGGCTCAAAGTCTAATGCGTTGTAAACAACAGAAACCTAGAAAGAATCAAAAAACAATATAAGATCATCATTCCAAGGTCACAGAATAAAAAATTCAGAAGTTCAAGCTGGAACTGCACTTAATTAAAAGCATGTTAACACAGATGGTGCCATTCTAGGCATGGTTTATAATGCTTATAATCATTGTCAGCTATTTTAAAGGGACAAAAAATTTCTCTTTAAAATCTTCACAGACTGGGGGTGCCTGGGTGGCTCAGGTCATGATCCCAGAGTCATGCGATCGAGCCCCGCATTGGGTTCCCCGCTTGGCAGGAAGCCAGCTTCTCCCTCTCCTACTGCCCCACCTTGTGTTTCCTCTCTCACTGTGTCTCTCTCTGTCAAATAAATAGAATCTTCAAAAAAAAAAAAAGGTAAAATCTTCATGGACTATTACATCCTCTGTCTATATTTTACTTGTTGTACAGCATAACATACACAGTATATAGTAAGCATTGTATTTATTATAATTATAAATACCATTAAAACTGTAGATTCTAGATTCAAACTGCCTGGGCTTAAATCCTGGCTCCACAACTTACTGTGTGACCTCGGGCAAGTTTCTTAGCCTCTCTTGCCTCCGCCCGTTTCCTCATCTACAAAATGGGGATAACAATGCCAAACTCATAATGGGGTCAAAAAATGAATAACCTCATCCACATACAGTGCTTAGCACAGAGCCTGGCCTATTTTAAGCATCTCACAACTGTTACTTCTCTTGAAACTACCACCTTTGTTTGTCCAAGCAAGTTTCTTTCCAGTAGAAAAATGCTTTTTCCCAAGAGAGCCCCTGTTTAGGCAGCTTGCTTTTAGCCCCTCACCTCACTGACAACGGCCCAGAGTAAGAGAAAGCCCCTACATTCGTGGCACTCTACGGTTTACAAAGCTCTTTTGTTTGTTGCTCAGCGGCAGGATAGAGGTCTTTGTCACTCGAGTATCCTGACAATGAAGAACGACGAGCGGCATAATCCGACCGCGTGACAGAGGCCCCCTGAAAGGGAGGTACAGCAAGATTATCGTGTCCATTTCTCAGATGGAGACAGTGAGGCTCGAGAGATGATGTCACTCACCGAAGAGCACTCACCAGTGAGTGGCAGAATGAGAACTTCGAATTCCAAATCCAACGCACCTTCTACTACACTAGGCTGCCCCTTCTAACCAAGTCTAGGCTGTTCATCCTTGGCTTGCCCTTATATTTGCAAATTCAACGGTTTCTGCTACTGATGAGGGCCACACAGGACATGCTCTCAAGATTATACATTTCCCCCAGCTCCAGATTTAAAAAAGGAAGAAGAAAATAGAAAGTTAAGAGAAAAATTGCCAACTGGAAATTACAACATAGATGACAAAGAGCTAATATCCTTAACACACAGAAATTCTTAAATATCCAAAAAGGAAAAAGAAACTCAGGAGAAAAGTAGGTAAAATCAACACTTCACAAAAGAAAAATGCCTAGAAGACTTATGAGAAAATATCTACCTTCTCTAATGCTCAGAAAGGCAGTGAGATGCCATTTTTCCTACAAGGTGATCAGAGAGATGAATGAAATACTAAAAAGAAAGAAAGAATCTTCTGTTTCCATAAAAGTCGTTTTTTCAGAAGAAAGTGATAAAAGTGAGAACACTACCTATCTGTAAAGGAGAACGACAGCAGCAGAGTTACTGAGGGGGGTTGGTTAGTCTTATAGACTGCCTCTGAGAGTACGAACCGACAAAACTTTTTCAGGGGCAAGTAGAAGTAACTACCAGAATTTTCATGTGTACATTCTTGGGCCCACCTACCCCACTTCCACGTATTTAACTGAAGGAAATAAGAATGTGCACTGAAAATTGGTTTAAAAGTGTTCATCACTGGACCACTTAAAAGAGTGAAAAACCTGAAACTGCCTACATGTCCAATGTTATGGGTGAACTGTGTCCCCCACAAAAAGGTCACGTGTACCAGTACCTCACACCTTATTCGGAACTACCACTATCTTTACAGCGGTAATCAAGTTAAAATAAGGTATTTAGGTGGGCCCTAATCCAAGACATCTGGTGTTCTTATAAAGAGGGGAAATGAGGTTACAAAGACAGACACACAGAGGGAAGACGACGCAGACACAGGGAGGAGCATGTGAAAACAGAGGGCTGGAGAGCGGCATCTCGGAGCCAAGAAGCACCTGGCAAACCGCCGGAAGCTGGAAGAGGCCAAGAAGGGTTTTCCGCTATAGGTTTCAAAGGGAGTATGGCCCTGCTGACACCTCGCTCTTGGAGTTTGAGCTTCTAAGAATTGAGACAATAAATTTCTGTTGTTTAAAGCCACCCCGTGTGTAATACTTTGCCATGGCAGCCTGAATAAACTAATACACCCAGTAATGAGTAAACGAAAAAATAAATCATTATCCATCCAAACAGTAAAACAGTAGTCATTATAATGAGAGAAATATTTACTGACACAGGAATATATTCATAATAGTGTTTGAAAATGGCAATGAAAATGAAAATGTTTTGGTAAAACATTTTATGTAGTATTTCCCCATCTTTGTTAAAACATATATATAAATACATGCTTAAATAAAAGTCTAGAAAGCCTTATTCAAAGAGTTCAGAGGTTAGTTCTGGCTACATAGAGTATGGTATTTTTTATTTTCTCTTGCTTAGCAGTTTCCTGGCTTTCTGGCAAAGAATGATGCACACGGGCTATTGTTTACACTGTCCCACAACCTTTTGGGTAATAGACCCTACTTGCCCACACTGGGCCACCCACCATGGAGGTGGCACGTGACTTGGGCTGGGACAAACAACCTGTGCCCCATTCCCCAGGCAGTACGAATTGGCTAATGGACCTGTAACTCATACCAGGTCAAGCACATTTTCCTAACTGGACCTACCGGGGGAGATTTCCTTTTCCTCTGTGGTCATAAAGCTGTAAGGAGATGAGCCTACAAGGACACCCATGATTCCAGGTTCATGGAGAAGGTCAGCTCCCGGAGAGGGACACACAGTGAGAGAGTCCTGGTCACATGGAACCCCTCGTTCCACAAATCTATACTCTGAGCCTTCAGAGTTAAGTGAGAAAATATCTGCCCTTTATTTGCTGAAGTTCAAGGTGGGGCACCTGCGTGGCTTAGTCGAGTAACTGTCTGCCTTCAGCTCAGGTCATGATTCAGGGTCCTGGGATCGAGCCTCACTTCAGGCTCCCTGCCACATGGGAGGCTGCTTCTCCATCTCCCTCTGTCTGCCTCTCCCCTGCTAGTGCACGCACGCTCACTCTCTCGCTCCCTCTCTCTCTCTCTCTGTCAAATAAATCTTAAAAAGAAAAAAAGTATGTTCAAATTTGGTCATATTTAAAAAGAAAGACATTTTTAGAATGCAATCAATGAATTGTGTTTAAAAGCTTGAACAGGCTATTACAAACACCCTGTTCCATTTTCTGCCTTCTTTAAATCAGTCATGAATTCACTTAGGGTAATGGAACTTTACAGACACAACTGAAAGTAACAATGTCTAAAAAGATTTTAATACTTCTAAGCCATTGAGATGTAAGTATATTAAAATGTATTATTAAATGTAGCACTGTCTATTCCTTGGCCAATTTTTATAGAAATTTTTCTGAAAAAGAAAAAAAAGATTTTTCTGCAAGGAAGAATTGTGAATTTTAAAAAATGTAAGTTAAGTGAATGCAACAAATTTTTCTCAAAGAAATTTAAGAATATAGTAGTCCCCCCTTATCTAAGGGGATACATTCCAAGACCCCCTGTGGATGCCTGAAACCTCACATAAGACCATACTCTATACACTATGTCTTTGCCATAGTTACCTATGATGAAGTTTAATTTATAAATTAGGCAGGGTAAGAGATTAACAACAATAATCATAAACAGAACAATTACAACAATATACTATAAAAGTTATGTGCATGTAGTCTGTCTCTCTTGAAATGTATTCTTGTACTGTACTTGGCCTTCTTCTTGTGATGATGTAAGATAGAAGGCCTATGTGATGAGATGTAGCGGGATGAGTGACGTAGGCTTTGGAAAGTAACGTTCGGTTACTACTGACCTTCTGACCACACGTCAGAAGGAGGATCATCTGCTTCCACACCACAGATGACCAGGTTACTGAAACCACAGAAAGCCAAACTGCATGTAACGGGAGACAACTGCATTCACATGATTTTCAAACTACCGTCACTCCGTTGCTAGTAGCTATAAAGGACTAATGTTATAAAATAACGAGCAGTGGAAAAACTAAAAATAAATTTACTTCAAAATTAATATTTTTTAATTGAGAGATGCACACAATCTTACTGAGAGAAAATGTTTTCTCCACCCCCCCATAAATATTGACTATTTTAAGAATTTAAAGCCAACCCCAATAATAAAGATATGTGATTCCAACATAAAATGTGCAGCCCTAATCAACTTGTAAACTTACCTGTCCAGTGCCAACTTCGAAAGACTCATAATCAACATGCACAGAAGACACATAAGCACCAACTGGAAGTTTCCGCTTGGACTCGTTAGAGTCTGAGGGGAGGGAAGTCATTTCTTTAGCTCTCTGAGCATTTTCCTCTTGTCCCTTTGTCGAAGCGGCCATCACTGCCTTCTTCTCTGCTGCTGCTTTTTTCTGTTCCTGTGAAACAGCAACATTTCACAACACAACCCTGAGGAAAAGTTCATCAGCTAGCTCTATGGAACAAGCTATCTCAAAGCTAAGGAATGCTCAGTAATTTCCTAGGCAGAGTGGTGTCAGACAAATATCCTTCTTAGAGTCACACACTAAATATTTAGGGAAGAAAGAAACGCCATGGTTTCTACTATTTAAAATTCTTTAAAAAAAAAAATGATAAGAGACTGAGAAAAAACAGCAAAACAGCTACAGTTAAATCTGAATACTGGCTATCACTACACTTTTCACTCTACTTTTCTATAGAACTTAAAATTGTAATACAAAATGCCAACTATTTTCCTTTATGAACTCAACTTTAGACAGATTAAAGTACCATATAATTGTGAAATACATATTTCCTATAAAGATGTGGATTTGAGGAGAAATGTCTTCATTCAACATGTTTGCACCCAAGATGTCTGCGTGGAGCCACTGACAAGTTTTCCTCAAACCCATTTTGGGAAAAACAGACGAGCACACTGCGGTTAGAGTTCCGCAACAGAGTAACTACTCAGAAACAGGAAGGAATGAACTGCAAATGACGCAATAATTGGATCGATCTCAAATACGCTGAGTGAAAGAAGCCAGATACAAAAGAGCACGTGGCGCTGATCCCATTTATATGAAAAGGCAGAACAGGCAAAACTCAACAGTGACAGAAACCAGAGTAGTAGGAAAACAGAGAGGAGCGGACGAGAAAGGAGCAGAAGAGAACTCTCTGGTGACAGAAATGTTCTAACTCTTGTTCTAGGTGGTGATTACACAGATGCAAAAAGTTTCAAAACTTACTACGCTGAACACTTAGGATCCAAGTACTTCCATAAAGGAGGAAGTAAACCAAAGCTCTGGGAGCCTCTGTGGAACCAGCCTCCATCCCCTTGTCCTACCCTATTCCCAGCTCAACTGCTATTTCAGCCATAGGTAAACACAAGCCCACTCCTGGAAGGCCTATTTCCCCCTCAAACATCAACACTTGGGGGAGTTTTCTCTGACCTTCCTCAGCCCTTCACCCCTCTCCCCAGGCCAGAAATGCCACTCCCCTGGCTCTGACAGCACGGATAGCACTATTACAGGACCAGTAAGTCACCTGTGGTCAAATCTCTGCCCCTAACTAGACCACATACCCTCAATTCATCTCCAAATCCCAAATATTGACATGGTACCTGAGCCAAAAGATATTAATTAAATCTTAAATAACTCAACTGCTTAGGCTAATCAAAACAAATCAGTCCCGACTTTATAGTCCTGTTACATGCAAAGTGATATACACTAAGGTGTAAATATATAATACAAATAAAAGAACTACAGCAGTTCAAAAGATGGAAAGATAACACAGACCATGTTTACAACAATAAAGTAGCCACCTTAAGAACTAATTTTTCTAAGTACTTAGAGAATCTCTATAAAATTAATTTGATTAGTACATGAAAATTAGGGGCATTGGGGTGCCCGGATGGCTCAGTTGGTTAAGCAACTGTCTTCGGCTCAGGTCATGATCCTGGAGTCCTGGGATCGAGTCCCACATCAGGCTCTCTGCTCTGCAGGGAGTCTGCTTCTCCTGCTGACCTCTCTCTTCTCGTGCTCTCTCTCATGCTCTCTCTCTAATAAATAAATAAAATCTTTTTAAAAAAAAAAAGGAAGAAAGAAAATTAGGGGCACCTGGGTGGCTCAGTTGGTTAAGCATCTGCCTTCAACTCAGATCATGATCTCAGGATCCCGGGATCAAGCCCCGCATTGGGCTCCTTGCTCAGTGGGGAGACTGCTTTCCCCTCTCCCTCTGCCACTCCCCCTGCTTGTGCTCACACTCTGTCTCTCAAATAAATAAAATCTATGAATAAATAAATAAATGAAAATTAAACGAAACAAGTTGAGTTTTTCCCAAGTGCTCTTCCTTCTTTCTACATGCTTTTTAGTTGTTGTTTTGTTTTGTATTTTTAAGAATTTTTGCTTTTTTGGTTATTATTTCATGAGATTTTAGCGAGGCTATGCTTATCTCTTTAGATGATAAGAACTAAGAACAGAGAAAATGAGCTAATATTTATTAGGGGCTAAGCTTACATGCATTAATCCAACCGTATAAGGAAGGTAGCATCATTCACATTTTAGAAATTAGGGAAATCAAGAATCAAAAAAGTTAAGCAAATTGCTCATGAATAAGGAGTTAATAAGCAGTTGAACTGGGACGACCGATTCATCCATCTGTCCAGGGCTTACCCAGTTTTTCCACCAGGAAATCCCCAAATACCAATTTTAAAACTCAAGAGTCCTTCCCCCTGGGAATTCTCTCAGTCCCAGGAAAACAGGTCAGTCGTCCTAGCTGGGGTTGAAACTCGGTTCTGGCGGACTCCAAGGTCTGCGCTTACATCAGTTCCACACTGCGCCCTTGGGCAGGGAGCACGTTAGCCGGCCTAACCATACTGTATTAACAAAAACTCCCAAAATCTAAATAAGAGAGTCAAAGATGAATTTTGGTTTCTGTTTTTAGGGCACAAATAAACTTTACCAGTTTAGCTGCTTTCTGTTTTACAAAGTTAGCGATCTTCTTTCTGGGTCCAAGGGGTATGCCCATTTCCTTCAGGTCATCAACTGTACACATAAGCTTGAAAAGAAAATAAACAAACAAGCACATTAGTTAATCAGTTTAATGACTGATGAAATGAAACTGAAATCAGGAAATGATAAAAAGAAACCAGACGAATGAAAGCAATCTAAGATCCAGTCGATTTTTTTAAAAAGTTAATTTGCTTTTAAATCCTCGATTAACTTAGGCTATAAACTCTGAGCCCTCCACATCTAAACCGTTCTAGTCATCTTTGGCAGAAAATACATGCATTCTGTACGAAATTAAAAAGCTACACGGTCAACCAGACAATGAAGTCTCTTCCCTCTGCTCCTGTTCCAACCACCTAGCTCTCTCACAGCCTCTCCAATCTGCTCTTTCCAGAAACACCTTCCGTATACACAGCACCTCAGTGGTTTTCCTTGTGTGTGTAGCCTGCGAGGCAAATGGGACTGAACTACGCTCTTTTCACATAACATATCTTAGAAATCACTTCCTACCACTACCTCGGACACTGCCTCATTTATTCAACAGCTGCATTCCATTACATGCATGCGCCTTCAACTGTTTCACTGGTGCCCTACCAGCGGACTGGTAGGTGTTTCTCAGGGTTTATCATCATGAACAGCACTGTCGCGAGTACCCTTAGATACTCTTGTGTCAATATTCCTATATTTGGAATTATCCCTGGCAAATTGCTGGAGCAAAATATTTTTTGTATTTTTTGCATTTTGGGGGGGTATTTTTTCTATTTTAAAAGGTATTACCATCTTAACCACAGGGAACAAACTGAGGGTTGCTAGAGGAGAGGTAGATGGGAGGGATGGGGTAAGTGGGGGATGAGCACTAAGGAGGGCACGTGATGGAATGAGCACTGGGTGTGATATGCAACTGATGAATCACTGAAACTAATAATATGAAACTAATAATATAGTACATGTTAATTACATTGAATTTAAATAAAAAATTAAAAAAATAAAAAATTTCCAACACTATCATTTTAGACTAAAACCGTCATCAAAAAGAAAGTTAATCCTACAACAAAAAGAAAATAAAAATTTTAAAAATAATAAGGTATTACTAAACTGCTTTCCATAGAGGATGTACCAACTTATAGTCTTACTAACCATATGTAAACCATGCCCAGTTACCCTCATCCTGGCCCCATATTATATGAACAAGCTTATTTTTGCCAAACCGAAAGGTTAAAAAAAACTCATTGCACTTTCAATCTGCCTTTTTCTCATGAGTTTTCGTATGACAAGAAGCCATTTGTTACTTCCTTTTCTGTACGTCATTTGTTCAGTCTTGGCCTATTCTAGTGTGTTGATGGTCTTTGTGCAACTAATTTATAGGAGCTTTGAATAATAAGGAAATAAGCCCTTTGTCTCTAACGTGTGCTCCAAATATTCTTCTTAATCTATCACTGGCCTTTAGATGTTGTTTAGGGCATCTCCTGCTGTGCAATTTTTCTTTTATGGCTTCTGGGTTTTGTGGCATACTTAGAAGCCCTCCCAGATTACACTAAAAAACAAACGAAACTGTGTTTTTCAATTTTTAAACATTTAAGTCTCTGCCTTATCTGAAATTATTATAAGAGTACTCAAATGATTCATAATTTTTGATCTTATAAATAGGAGAAACAATTTTAAACCAAAATGAATCAAACAGGGATGCCCAGGAGGCTGAGTCGGTTAAGGATCTGCCTTCGATTCAGGTCATGATCCTGGGGTCCTGCGACCCGTGTCGGGCTCCTTGTTCTGTGGGCAGCCTGCTTCTCCTTCTCCCTCTGCCTGCTATTCCCCGTGCTTGTACACTCGTTCTCTCGCACTCTCTCTCAATCTGTCACACAAATAAATAAAATCTTAGGGGCGCCTGGGTGGCTCACTGGGTTAAGCCTCTGCCTTTGGATCAGGTTGAGATCTCGGGGTCCTGAGATCGAGCCTCCCATCAGGCTCTCTGTGTGGTGGGGAGCCTGATTCCCCCTCTCCCTCTGCCTGCCTCTCTGCCTACTTGTGATCTCTCTGTCAAATAAATAAAATCTTTTTATATAAATAAAGTTTAAAAAAAAAGGGATCAGAGCAACCCTCTCAGGTCCCCTTCCTCTTCCGGAGCTTTGTACGATCACTTTACTGTCATTCAATAAACTTTGCTTTGCGGCCCACCAGAAAAGGAAGGAAGGAAAGGAAGGAAAGGAAGGACGGATGAATGGATCAAACTATCCTCAGTACCAGAGATTCCATATCAATCTTTTCCTTTTCAAAAGTGCTAACATATTCAGAGAGGCTAAGTGCTTCCAGAGTCTCTTGCAAACTTAGGACTTCTTCATTTTCAACGTCAAGGTCACAAGACTCATCCAAAGTCAACTTTGGCTCTTCAGGCATCTTAAGGAAAAAAAAAAAAAAAAATGTCAGGGGAACATTGCAAACCTCATAAAAACTCCCATAAAATGTCTCCTGATCTACAGTAAATCCTAAACAAGTTTGCTCCATAGAGAAATCACAATTTTAGGTATTTTATCATCCAAAGTTTGAATATTCTAAGAAAAGTGTATCAATTGAAGAAATCACTCATTCCCATATTCTACAATAATTTACTTAACATTTTTTTAATCATAAACTTTCTCTCACATTTAAATTTATAATCCATAAGGAAGACAAGTGAGAGACTCAAAAGAGCTAAGATGATTCTATCATGCTTATAACCTCAGGGTACTTTGATTTATAAAAACATTTCAGGGGCACCTGACAGACTCAGTCAGAAAGGCATAGGACTCTTGATCTCAGGATTGCAAGTTCGAGCCCCACAATGGGTGTAGAGATTACTTAAATAAACTTAAAAAAAAAAGAAATTCAGGAAACAGTTCAGACTTTAGAAAACTGTTTGGCTTTATCTCTAATCTAAATACGTTAAGTGGGCTATACCTGCTTTTCCTGAAAATGTGGCGGCTTCACAACTCCATTAGCTACAGCAAAAGGCCCAGGAGACTTTGACAAATTCAAATCTTTTTGATTAGACAGGATGTCAAACAATATTAAAGAACCTAAAAAAAAAATTAATTTTGCTTTATATGACTAATACTTTTATACCACTAAGTAAATTCTCCTTTTTTCCTCAAACTCCCTAGGCAGAAGTCATACAAAAGTTAAATGTCAATCAAGATCTGATCAATATTGTTTTTCCCAAACATCAGAATAAATTAAAATATAAAGCATTCCTAAGTAACTGAAAAGCAAAGGCAGAACCTAAACAACATATTCATGTCCACCTTTATAAAACTTAAAATCTTTAATTCTAAATTTTGTATTAATAATGTCACCCTCACTAAAAGCAGTGATAACTCAACAAAAACTATGTTTAAAATGTGAATATTTGACAGTTTTACCTAAACTATGACCAGCAACAGAGACTCCTCCTTTGAAGTCTGGATTCCGACTCATAAAAAGTGCATGCAGACGGTTTATCTCCATTCCCACTTTTTCCACGATTGTCTGACAGTAGGTGGGGCTATTGTAAAATAAAATATCTAGCAAGGTTTCATTGGTAAAATGACGAAACCGACCAATACTTGGTAAAGTAATTTTCTTAATGTTCCTGTTTTAGAAAAGAAAAAAAGTATATTCAGTCACTAGCCACCTTACATCTACAGACATTTTTAAAGCTTAGACAGTGATTTCTAATGAGTATAAGAATCCCACAGACTAGGGCACCTGGGAGGCTCAGCTGTTAAGCGCCTGCCTTCAGCTCAGGTCATGATCCCAGGGTCCTAGGATGGCCCTGCACAGGGCTCCCTGTACTGCAGGAACTCTGTTCTCCCTCTCCCACTCCCCCTGCTTGTGTTCACTCTCTCGCTGTGTCTCTGTCAAAAAAAATAAATTTAAAAAATCTTAAAAAAAAACAAAAACAAAAACAAAAACAAAAAAAACCTTACAGACTAATTACGAGTTGATACTGTAGACAAAGTTATTATAAATGAACCAAGATAAAGCAAAAAGGTGTAAGTGTGCATACAACTATACTGCGACTTTGGGGATTCTCCGAAGAGTTATCACATAAAATAAGGCATAAGTAAAATTTTTAATTTATTTTTCTTCTATTCTTCCATTTTTCTTCCAATTAACTGGAAATCAGGAAACCTGACAAAAATTGTGGTAGGAAGGATGACATGGAATATAACAAGGAATCAGAAAGGAGTTTCATGCACTGAAAATCTTTCTTGATTTGAGAATATAGCAAAGTTCATGAACATCCACAGAGAAAGATTGCCCTTCATCATAATAGGACCTACCATGAAAGAATATACAGAATAACACAGAATGCTGTTTGTAGAATTAGTGTTATAAACCACGTGCCCTGAAACATTATAATCTTCACTACAATCCAGATACGTTATTACCCCTGTGTCCTACAGTAAATATTATCTAAATCTATGTTTCTCAATTGAGAGTATGCAAAACAGAGTAGGGCACGTTTCGTTGTCACAGTGCCTACAGAAGTCGCAGGCTTTTAACAAGGACTGGAGATATATTTGGCTGTTGGGGGTCTGGGATGTTGTCTAGTGGGTAGAGGCTAGGGTGCTCCCAAACATTCTGCAACGTACAGGACAGCCCCTGTCCTGAACTGCTACTGATTAGAACAGCATTCTAAAACTGGATGACGTTTCTCAGACTCTCCTAAATATCTATACAGACATATGCATGCACACATGTGCGCACACACATATGCATGTGCACACAGAAAAGCGGCATATAATCATTAACAGCCAGAGTTTAAATCATATGTCAGAGCAACTATATCATTTAAATAAAGGAATATATTTTTTTAGCACATATGTTGAAGTTACAATAAACGACTTCATATTTTGGTTTAAATTTTGAATCTAAGTTTGACTAATCTAAACAACGAGTTATCAAAGTCCACACACCTGTCAACACCTGTGGCATCCCCACCCAAGGAACTATGCCAATGAACAGGAAGGAATTCCACTCTGCTTACTTTCCGATCGTCTAAAGATTTCTTGTAATGTGTCTGCAGCAATTTCAGAGAAACCACCCTAAAATCATCCACTTAAAAAAAAAAAATCAGGGAAGACAAATTAAATTGATTAAATTTCCTGACTTGATGGGTAGTTTATCGATTCTCTCAAATACACTAGTAGTTTTTATATAACAAACCTTTTAAGAAGAAAAATAAAAATGACAGTCAGTCCAAAAAGGAAAAAACCCAACCTTTTGGCAACTTTTTTTTTTCAATGTCTTAGAGGAATGTATAAATGACTGAAAAACATTTAACTACCGTTCCTAGAAGGCAGCATGGCACTATGGGTACAGACTCTGGAATCAAACTGTCTGCCACAGGATCCCTGCTCGGGAACCCATAGACCATGATACGGGAGAGGTTCACTTAAGCCTGTGGACTTCAGTGCCTCACCTAAGAGAGAGGAGAACAGCAACAGCACCTGCACCCCCAAGGTTTATCGTGAGAGGTGAGTAATATGATACGTGCAAAATGCCTGGCACAAATCAGGTAATAAATATGAATTATTATTATACAGATATGAAAATAAAACTTCAAAAATTTAAGTACACCAGGTACATTCATTGTTCCATTAAACAACTTCTTTCAAACAATTCATTTTAAATCATTTCAATGCACAGGTATACCTAGTTGCCAAAAGTGCCTAGGCAGAGGCTATCTGTCAGAAAGGCTAAATTATTTCCAAGATCCCTTCTAACCCTTCAGTCTAAGATTTTAAGAGTTACATACATCATAAGAGCAAATCAAGTATAAATTATTTCCCAGTGACCATTTAAATCTCCTCTTAACAGTTCCTCAGACAATAGTAAACAGCTGGAAACCATCTTAAAAATTAACATTTAAAAGTTCTTCTTTGGGACACCTGGGTGGCTCAGTGGGTTAAGCCACTGCCTTCGGCTCAGGTCATGATCCCGGGATCATGGGATCGAGTCCCGCATCGGGGTACTCACTCAACAGGGAGCCTGCTTCTCTCGCTGCCTCTGCCTGCCTCTCTGCCTGCTTGTGTGTACTCGCTTGCTCTCTCTGGCAAATAAATAAAATCTTTAAAAAATTTTTAAAAATAAAAATTTTTTTAAAAAAAGTTCTTCTATCACTTCTCAATTCATTCCATGAAATAAAATGACTAATACTTACCACATTCAATAATGCTTCTAAAGCGCAAGTCACACACAGGTCCAATGCCATGCACCATGAACACCAAATGATCAACCCGAGGCATTTCCCCTACAAAAGAAATACACACATGCCTACATACAACCTGGGAAACTGTTTGGGTTTTCGTATTTGAGTAGCAATATTCTAAATATCCCTTTTGTCAACACAAACTGGGCAAAGAAACTGAAGGCCCTTCCAAGCTAATAAACTTCATTACTCTCTATGAAATGAGAAGAACAAACTCAAGGTCCATCTTGGCAAATAACAGTGAACTAGACCGAGAGATGGAGGAAGCACGCCACCTCTGATCCCAGAGGCTCTGAGCACATGATAACCAGCAGCTTTGTACCTACTGAGACTCCATAACCTTCGTGATTTCTTCAGAACTCCCCAGGAGACTAAGCCCCACATGGAGAAGCAATATGCCCACACAGAACTTTAAAATATTTCCCCCAATGGGCTGCCTGGCAGGCTCAGTCGGAAGAGCATGCGACTCCTGATCCTGGAGTCATGAGTTCGAGCCCCACATTGGGTGTAGAGATTATTTAAATAAAATAAATAAATGAATAAAATATTTTCCCCAAATCTTTCCCTTTCCCTATATAATATACATTCTACAAAGTGCAACATCTTTAAGTTATATATGGGAAAACCAAGATAAATCTATTATTTTACTCTGGCATATAGAAACAACTACAGTTCAATCTATTTTACTCTGGTGATTTTGTTCACATTCATAATATGAGAACACTTACTTATATTTGTAATTTCGTAAGACAATGAAACAAAAATGAAATCCGTAATTGTCAAAATAAAATCTGTATTTTCAGCGGTGTAACAGGAGAAACCAAAGCCCATACACTGGAGCACTGGTTGGCCAAACAGGCCAAATCCTGCTCACTGCCTGGTTTTTACAAAGCTTTACTGGAAGACGGCTACGTTCATTTGTTTACAGTCCATCTACAGATGCTTTCACACTACACTGGCAGAGATGAACAGATGCAGCAAAGTCCATAGGGCCTCAAATATTTACTACATTGCCCTTAACAGAGAAAGTTTGCCACCTTTGCCTCTAGAGGAATACACACTAGACGAGACATGACCACAAAAGCCCAAAAATATTGCCAAAAGCCTAGTTTCAACCAGCAAAGCGCTTCTTCAGAACAATACATTTTTTTTAGAATCTATGTCACATGGTTTGTATATCTTCAACAGAATTCTCAATTTTAAAATAAACAGATATAAAAGTAATAGAATAAAAAGAAAGATATATGCCAACCTGGCTGATTTCTGCATGTTATGGCAGGTAGGCCTAAGAAATGCTTTTTTTTTTTTGTCTCCCTAAAAAATGATGCTAAAATAGAGGAGTCTAAAAATGACCTTGGCCCTAAACAACCTATACGCACCGTCAGGAATCTCATCAAGGTTATCATCAATTCCACGCTTCACAACCCTGGGCCTCGTCTGTCCATCTTGTGTGGTTCCCCATTCATCTGGCACTGATGAAGGCTGGAACTGAACAATAACCTTGAAGACAGGACAGAAAGATTATGAAGACCTCATGAGCAAACTGATTTCCATGACAGGCTAAATAAATTACTTCAATACATAATTACTTCATAGTATCAACAGTTACAAGTCTAGTACTAGTATTACTCTCCCAAAACAATTTTGTAACAATCCTGCTAGGGTTCACATTAACCATTAAAACTAGGCAACTCAATACCACTAATTCTAATGCTTACACTGGAAAATACTACAACTAAATCAGAAGCAGTACACCTTAAAAACGTAACATAAAAATCCAGGTTTACATATAACAAATTAAGAAAAATTACCTAGAAAGGAGAAATCTTCATCTTACAAAAATATTTAAGGCGTAATTCTTTAAGTAGCAAGATTCCCAATTAATCTACTAATTCAATTTCAATGCCAAAAACTGATTTACCCACCACTTCCTGGGAAAAAATACATTCTGTTAAATCAACTAAATTTAGTCGCAAGTCACACAGAAATTTTTCTACTAAAAAAAAAGGAGGCATGCAAGACGGTGTGCAAAGTTTTGTGTTTGCATCAAAAACAAATAAAAACGTAAGTTAAAAGTAATTACCATCAGGGGGAGAAATGGGAAATGCAGAGGTGAGAGGCTTTTATTTTTTATTTGATCCCTTTTTATACTGTTTAAATTCTGTTGGCATATAAATGTTTTTATTTCAGTATCAGTAAGAACTGCAGAAGTGATGACATTAAAATTACTTTTGTTTTCTTGTATACTTCTCTGACATAAATAGCCTATGTTCTGAAAAATTATCATATGCCAAGCACGATGCTAGATGTTTTTGTATAAATTACTTCATTTTATCTAAAATAGGACCCTGGAAGGTACTTACTACAGGTGAGGAACCTGGGACTCAGAGTGATTAGTATGCTAAATGAAAGAACACCGCGAATTAATATCTTTAAAAAAAACTAGTGCACGGAGACAACACAAGTAAGAAAAGGAAGGACATTATTTTTAAAAGTTGAAACAAACCACCAGCAAGGGTAGGATGGACAAACCAGGGCCTCCAAACCAAATGTGAGCTACCGCCTATATAAATAAGGTTTCACTACACTAGCACACCCCCTGCTTCATATATTATCTGCAGCTGCTTTCAGGCTACAGCGGCAAGCTGACAGCTGCAACAGAGATCGCACAGCCCATGAAGAATTAAATATTTACTCTCCCGCCCTTGACAGAAAAAGCCTGCTGACCTCTGCTCAAGTGCAAACATTTATCAAGCATCTTCAGTGGTGCATAATGAACTTCAGCTAACACACTGCCATAAGCAGAAACTTCATGAGAAAAATTTAAATTTTATTTTTGTTTCTATGATCAATGTAAACTATGGCAAGCTTTTAAAAACAATGCACTTCTTATAAATATATCCCTACAAAAATTAATTAAGATGAACATGTATCAAGCACATTCAGCAAAATCATTATTAAAATGAACTTAACGTTTTAATATCTTAAACAATAACATTACCTTTGGATTGTGCATAACGATTGTCTCTCCACTTGGGAACTCTAATCTACGGTGCCACTGATTTGTGGTTACTGCTTTTTTATATTCAGCCTAAAATAATGGAAACATAATCCAGTAAAACAAATTTATACCACATTGAGAAAAAGTGTGGAACAAAAGTTTAACTATGATGATAATAAAAATAATGTAACAGAGGCTCTCATGTACTAATTGCTACACTTGACAGTCACTTTATATAGGCTACCTTATTTAATTAATTACTCTCAATCACTCCTAAATAAGATTATCCCCATCATATAGAGGAGAAAACAAAGGTCTACACAGCCTGTTAGTATCCTAGGGCCATGGTAACAAAGTATCACAAACTGAATGGCTTTGCAAACAGAAAGGTATTCTCTCACAGTTGTGGAGGCTAGAAGTCTGAAGTCAAGTGTCAGCGGGCCATGTCCGCTGTAGAAACCTACAGGGAACTCCTTCCTTGCCTCTTCCTAGCTTCTGGTGGTTTACCAGCAATCTTTAGTGTCCTCTGGTTTACAGAGGCAACCCACCCATTCTCTATTTTCACAGGGTATGACATCAAGTCATATTGGATGAGGGGCCCACCCTTCTCCAGAATGATCTCATCTTAGCTCATTACATCTGCAATCACCCTATTTCCAGATAAGATCACATTCAGAGACACTAGGGCTAGGACTTTAACACATCTTCTGGAGGCTGCAAAGGACGACACAGTTCAACGCCTAGTTCATAGCTGCATAAGATTACACACCTAGGAGCAAAGCACAACTGCAGCTCACTCCCACCCTCAACTTTCCGACTGTTGAGGGGCGCCAGGGTGGCTCAGTCAGTTAAGCATCTGTCTTTGGCTCAGGGATTGAGCCCCACGTCGGACTCCTCGCTCAGTGGGGAGCCTGCTTCTCCCTCTGCCTGCTGCTCCCCCTGCTTGTGCTGTCTCTCCCTGTCAAATAAATAAATACTTAAAAAAAAAAAAAAAAAGACGAACTATTTTCTTACTCTTCTTCTAGATATAATATTCTGCTTCCAACAAGGAAAAAAAAAAAGCCTGAGGGCCTCGTGGAGAAAGACTCAAGATGAGGTAATGTGGAACCACTGCCACCACCCACTGTCTGAATTTTTTTTAAATTATTAACAATAATTATTTGATAATCATGTCAAAATAGACGAGTTTCTTTTTGTCTCCTGGACAGTCACTGATTAATGATTCCCCTCCACCAGCCTCTATCCCTTTGACTATTCCTCACTTGGCTTTTTATAATTTTTACCATATTTATTTATAATTTTTAAAAGCAAGATTACAAGTAAAAATGCTTAAAGAAAGAAGTTTCACTACCTTAAGAATTCTTTGCACTTTTTCATATTCCCTTTCAGTCCACAGCTTTAGAATAAATGTTGTCTGGTAGAGCCAAGTTTCCACATGGCATTCTTTTAAAGGGTCTTGGTTATTCTTGACACTTTGACCCTCCATATAAAATTCTGGAGCAGTTTACAAATTTTACCTTAAAAACTCTGATGTAATTTTGACTGGGATTACATACAATTTATAAAATAATTTGGGAAGAACTGACATCTTAACTGTGCATCTGTGAACATACTTAGCTCCACTTCTTGAGATCACCTTTTATTTCAATTCTGTTTTATATTTTGCTTCCACAAGTTCCCATAGGTATTTGTCAGACGTTTTCCTACATAGCCTATAGTTTTGTTAATGTTATAAATAGCATCTTCTTCTTTTTTTATTTTTATATTTTTTATTATGGGTGCTAGTTTCTTTCTTTCTTTCTTTCTTTCTTTCCTCTCTTCCTTTCTTTTTTTAAATGTAAGCTCCACACCCAGTGTGGGGCTTGAACTCACGGCCCTGAGATCAAGAGTCACACACTTTACCAACTGGGCCAGCCAGGCGCCTCCGTCTAGTGAGTTATTTCTATTATATAGGAATGCCATTAATTCGTATATGTTGATTTTATACCTACAGACTTGCAGTGCTAATGGTATTTCTAAAAATTCTCCCAACTTTCTATGTACCTAGTCATGTCATCACCAAAGAGAAGGTGTTTTCTGTTTCGAACTCCTCTGTTTTGTCTCAGTGCTCTGATAGTGCAGGATCACCTACACGATCTTGAGAAATATGTCTGCTTCTCTTCTTCTCATCGGCTTTCTCATCTCCTAACCTCCTCTGCATCTTCCCTGATCTGGTTTAAGCACCATGAAAGATGCTGAAGAGAAGCTAAGATCTCCCTAGATTATGAACAGCCGTGTGCTGTTGCGATGGTCAGTCCGTGGACAGCTGTCCCACCCTCAAAGCCTGCATCATCCATTTGCAACACGGTTGAGATAAAGTGAATCCGCTGAGATAAAACTGCTTAGACCTTATACTTAGACTATGTGCCTTAGCTGCAAAATAACAGGACTAAACTTGGGATGTTATACCTTCATAGGGCCCTACCAGAGAGACCAAAAATTATAGAATTATAGCATACATTTGCTTAATAATTTCGGTCTGAAATTATGCAACAGATATCAGCATTCTTTTACACATTTTTTTCCTCATTCAAATAACTAAGATTATGTTTTAGGAGAATGGTGCCTCCCAGTACATGATATTTCCAAGAACAAAATTAATTTAATGCCTTCTTTTCAGTCTTTGCTCTTCTTAACTGGGTTCTGACTCTGTTTTGTATCAGTGTTTTTCAAACTGTGGATGATGATGAGTAACAGATTATAAAATCAGTGTTTCAGATGAAACAGAAAATATCAGAGTGGCACCCGATAAGTCTAAGTACTGCTCTACAGGCCTTTGTTTTTAGTGGTGTGTGAGAGCAGGCTCACAGCAGCTCACAGCACGCAATACAACTCCTCCCAACTGTGGCTACTAGCGTCCTGTTGGTAGCTCAAAGTTGGCCATGGAGGGAGTATGTATATCATGGAAATCAGCAAATTCTATAAATCAGGGGCTTTTATTCCCCAGAGAGTCTGTTACCACACATGACTATTTCTGATAATTAAATTATCATCATATGTGTGTGTATGTGTGTGTGTATAAAATATGTATACTAAATTTTAATGTCAAATGTATTTTTTACTACAGCTTGAAACAAAAAAAATGTGAACCCTGTGCTCTCAACAAGCTTCTTTCCCAATTTACTTTCCCCAACTAACCTCTGTCTTACTTTAGGTCGACATTTATCTTTCAGTGTCAATTTGGTTATAAAAGTTTTTCAGAGTCACTATTATAGAGATTAGTATTTCCAGAACAGGTACAATTGATAATACCTAAGAAATGCATTTATAGGGATGCCTGTGTGGATCAGTAGGCAAAGCATCAGCGTTTGGTTCAGGTCATGATCTTGGGGTCCTGGGATCGAGCCCCACGTCAAGCTCCCTAATCAGCAGGGAGTCTGCTTCTCCCTCTGCCCCTCCCCCTGCTCATGCTCTCTCTATAATAAATAAATAAAATCCCTTTAAAAAATGCATTTATAATTATTTTTAAAAAACAGAATACACCACAAGAAATCTACACTATTATGTTAGAAAATATATACATATATATATGGATAGATAACTGTTGAAGAAAATATTTTTTAAATATAAGGGTTCAATATGAAAGGATGACACATTAAGATTAATGTGATTTAATTTTTTCTTATCTCTATTAAATATTACATCAAGCACAACAAAAATTTAATAATTAATAGTTAGCTGCTAAACTTGACTGTCAGCTCCTAACAAAACATAAAATCTAGTCCTTACTTGAAGCTACTCAAAATATGAACTAGGAAAGGTTAACAATTTAGAGGCCCCTTTTACCGATAACATAGTATTATTTTAATGTTTTCTGTTAGAACAGGTTATCTAAGTTTTAATAACTACAACATTAAACAATAATAACTACAGAGTTCTGTATCTCATTTCCATGTATGCAAATTGAATTCACCTAACTTATTTCAAACATTTAATTCAACCACGAAGTAGACTAATCATAAGAAATTAACACAATTATGTAAAACATTACCCAGTAGTTTCAGAATGGCTAGTAAATCTTGAGACATGTGTTCCTATTCTGTTTTCTACTTATTTTCAAAAATCAGAAGTTAATCTCAAGCCTTCTACTGAACAGTAATTTGAAAAGCATCCATATGCTTGGCAATTGCTGTTAACAATAGATCCCAGCAGACTAAGTTGATTTTAAGGTTTGCTACGAGTACCTTTTTAGATTTGTGATATGTCCCTGAAAAACAGTCTATCTTCAGACAGGGAGGCCACAATTAGCATCTCATGAACAACGGCACCACTTAAAAAGCAATCCTCTTTGTGAACAGGATCAAAACAAGCTCTTATCAATAAAGCCAGCTCTCAGGGCACCTGGGTGGCTCAATCAGTTAAGCTACTGATTCATGATTTCGGTTCAGGTCACGAACTCCAGGTTCTGGGATCAGATCATGATCTCAGGGTTCTGGGATCAAGCCCCAAGTCAAGCTCCAAGCTCAGCAGGGAGTCTGCTTGAGATTTTCTCCCTCTGCCCCTCCCTCACACACACACATGTGCGCACATTCTCTCTCTCCCTCTGCTCTAAGTCGGTTCCATTGTGAGTGGTGTTGTAGGAGGCTCCAATATATACAAAGGCCTATGTTTTTTAAAGAAATGGGTAAAGGAAATAAGCCCACATACCTCTAGTTTTTCACTGAACTCCTCTGTATAGGGAATAAATCTGCTGTCCGTGTCCCCTTTGTAGAACCAAGTACAGCGTCTCACTTCAGTGGGCTCCTCCTCCCAGTACACAGCCTTCCTCACTCGGTCATAGAGATACACATCATAGCGCCCTCCATCCGTGCCTAGAACCACGCTCTCGGGGTCTGGCTGGACTGGGGCACAAAGTTCACATTTTAACCCAACAGTAACAAGGCATGTTAAAAAGTAATAAATAATGAATATGGTGATTGGCTGATCCTAAAAGACAACTAAGTTCATTTTTGTTTAAAAACAAAATTTTAAGGGCGCCTGGGTGGCTCAATGGGTTAAGCTGCTGCCTTCGGCTCAGGTCATGATCTCAGAGTCCTGGGATCGAGCCCCGCATCGGGCTCTCTGCTCAGCAGGAAGCCTGCTTCCTCCTCTCTCTCTGCCTGCCTCTCTGCCTACTTGTGATCTCTCTGTCAAATAAATAAATAAAATCTTTAAAAAAAAAAAAAAAAAAAAAAAAAATTTTAAGATTAATTTGTGCTGTCCAAAATTACGACTCTTCTTAACTGAAGAAAAAAACAGCCAGAGCGAAGTTTTAAAACATAATCATTTAAGGGGCTCCTGGATGGCTCAGCTGGTAAAGCCTCCGCCTTCAGCTCAGGTCATGATCCCAGGGTCCCAGGACTCAGTCCTGCACTGCACTAGGCTCCTTGCTCAGAAGGGAGTCCGCTTCTCCCTCTTCCTCTAGTCCCCACCCAGCTTGTGCGTGTGCACATGCACACGTGCTCTCTCAAATAAATAAAATCTTTAAAAAAAAAAAATGACCATTTAAAAAAAAAAATCACAAAATAATTCAAATAACTGCCAGGTTTTCTTTTTTTAATCAAAGCAGCAATGCTCCATAAAGTATATTTCTAGGGGGTATTAACAAGTGACTTTTTTTTTAAAGATTTTATTTATTTGTTTGACAGAGATCACAAGTAGGCAGAGAGGCAGGCAGAGGGTCGGGGGGGGGGGAAGTAGGCTCCCTGCCGAGCAGAGAGCCCGATGCAGGGCTTGATCCCAGGACCCTGGGGTTATGACCTGAGCCGAAGCAGAGGCTTTAAGCCACTGAGCCACCCCGGCGCCCCTAACAAGTGATTGTTAAGTCCCATGGTGCATATCAGGAAGGGACGCCCGCGTGGTACAGTCGGTGAACATCTGCCTTCAGCTCGGGTCATAATCCGAGGCTTCTGGGATCGAGTCCAGCATCAGGCTCCTTGCTTAAGCATGGAACCTCCTTCTCCCTCTGCCTACCACTCCCCCTACTTGTGCCCATGCTCTATTTCTGACAAATAAATAAAATCTTTAAAAAAAAAAAAAAAGAAATATCATCAGGATAAATACACATATTTCTATACTCCCAATTCTCAGAGAGCCTTAAGGTGCACTATCTCAAAAGGTGAATGGGGTTAAATCATTTCCAAAACTCACCTGACCACAGAACACTTTTCAGAGCATCTTCAGGAACAAGAGTTCCAAAGATGTTTTATAAATGCCCAATAGCTACAAATGAATAAGGGAAATAGAAAAATTGACACCCACATTATGCGAACTAGTCTATTTCTCTAACTTAAAACACCTTTAAACAAAGAAGAAAATTATTAAAACATTTCTTTAAAAACCTTGCTCAAGGGGCGCCTGGGTGGCTCAGTGGGTTGAAGCCTCTGCCTTCGGCTCAGGTCATGATCCCAGGGTCCTGGGATCGAGCCCCACATCGGGCTCTTTGCTCAGCAGGAAGCCTGCTTCCTCCTCTCTCTCTGCCTGCCTCTCTGCCTACTTGTGATCTCTCTCTGTCAAATAAATAAATAAAATCTTAAAAAAATAATAATAATAATAAAATAAATAAATAAAAACCTTGCTCAAATAACTCAGGACTTGTGTTCATATCACTGTCTTAAGGCACCGAGTCTGGTGGAGTCTACAGGGACTACTAAGGAATTTGACATTCACAAAAAATAAGCCGTGGATAAATACTCTTTATTTCTGTTCTTCCTAAAATCAGATACAAATGTATCTGTACATGATCAGTACTTACCTGAGTTATAGATTTCTTCAAGGTTCGAAGAGTCAAACATACTGAAAGGCATCCATAGTTGTTTGTATTCTACCTCCTTGCAGTAAAACCAGTGGGGCTGAACAGGTTCGTACTGGTTTTGAAGTAGAAAAGGAGATGGCGCTTGCACAGAGGGACCTGCTGGTCTAGGCAGGGCCTGCTGTTGTGTTGGAGGGGTCAACCCTGATGGCACTGAATGAGGAATCTGGAGGACACAAAAAAAGAGAACTATGATGTTTGTCCAAGGAAACAATTCCATATATGCCTCGGACCCAAAGTGACATCAGTAATGATTATCCTACATGTATTTCTAGACAACTGTTTCGTTTAATAACTAGGCCTGAAAGCAACTAAAATTTTTTTTATAAATCTAACAAAATCCAACACCAGTCTTAAAAGTAAACTGGGCTTTCTCAAACTCATGGCAAAGTAAATTAGCACCTTCACAGAAATCAACCTAGCAGTGTGTCTTCTATGATTTAGTAAATCTTTACAACGTGCACATTCCTTGACCCCACCATTCCATTTCTAAGAACTCACCCTAAAGATTTAACACAAAAACAAGTAAAAATTTACCTATAAAGATGTACACAATAGGTCATGTATAACAGAAAGTCACTGGACACAATCTAAATGTCTTACAGAAGGGCACCTGGTGGCTTAGTCAGTTAAGCGTCTGCCTTTGGCTCAGGTCATGATCCCAGGGTCCTGGGATCAAGCCCCGCATTGGGCTCCCTGCTCAGTGAGAGGCCTGCTTCTCCCCCTCCCACTCTTGTGTTCCCTGCTTGTGTTCCCCTGGTTGTGTTCCCTCTCCTCTCGCTGTGTCTCTGTCAAATAAATAAAATCTTCAAAGAAAAACAGGTCTTACAGAGACCTGATTAAATAAATTATGTTACTTAAATCCTGAAATTCTCTAGAGCCATTACAAATGTTGTAGGAAAAAGTTAACATCTAGGGGCACCTGGGTGGCTCAGTGGGTTAAAGCCTCTGCCTTCGGCTCAGGTCATGATCCCAGGGTCCTGGGATCGAGCCCCACGTCGGGCTTTCTGCTTGGCAGGGAGCCTGCTTCCCTTTCTCTCTCTCTGCCTGCCTCTCTGCCTACTTGTGATCTGTCTGTCAAATAAATAAATAAATAATCTAAAAAAAAAAAAGTTAACATCTAAAAAATATGCATGGAAATATGTTTGTCTAGAAAAAATATAACAAAGACATATAACAAAATGAAAAGATGGGTTACAGAGAGACAATTTTTCATCATTTGACTTTTCTACATTTTCCAAATTTTCTGTACTGGAAGTACATTTAAAATCAGAGTATAACTATTTTAAAAAAAATTTTTTTAAACTTTTTTTTTAAAGATTTTATCCATTTATTTGACAGGCAGAGATCACAGGTAGGCAGAGAGGCAGGCAGAGAGAGAGGAAGGGAAGCAGGCTCCCTGCTGAGCAGAGAGCCCGATGCGGGGCTCGATTCCAGGACCCTGGGATCATGACCCGAGCAGAAGGCAGAGGCTTTAACCCACTGAGCCACCCAGGCGCCCCGATTTTAAAATTTTTTAATTGAAAATCATTTTGGAATGTATCAGTGTTAAAGCTACTGAGGTGTTAACTGTACAGTACTTATATGAAAGAACTTTCTTACTCTTAGAAAATACGTACAAGGGGCGCCTGGGTGGCTCAGTTGATTGAGCATCTGCCTTCAGCTCACGTAATGATCCCAAGGTCCTGGGATCGAGTCCCACATTGGGTTCCCTGCTGAGTGGGGAGTCTGCTTCTCCCTCTGCCTCTCCCCCACTACCTGACTTGTGCTCTCTCTCTTGCACACTCTCTCAAATAAATAGAATCTAAAAAAAAAAAGTAAATATGCATGAAAATATTTAGGAGTAAAGAGTCATCATGTATTCAACTGACCAAGTATTTCCCAAAACAACTGCACACATACATGGTGAGAACAGGAGAGAGAGGATGACCAAATGCGTGTGACTGCACGTGTGCACAAGCGACAGAACAAATGGGGTAAGATGAAATGACAGATAAACATGGGTTAAGGGTACCAGGGTACTATTTGTATTTTTGCAACTTTCCTTCTTCTTCTTCTTCTTTTTTTTTTTTCTTTAAAGATTTTATTTATTTATTTGACAGAGATCACAAGTAGGCAGAGAGGCAGAGGAAGGGAAGCAGGCTCCCTGCTGAGCAGAGAGCCCAACTCGGGGCTCGATCCCAGGACCCTAGGATCATGACCTGAGCTGAAGGCAGAGGCTTTAACCCACTGAGCCACCCAGGCGCCCCTTCTTTTTTTTTTTTTTAAGTAGACTCCATGCCTAGCACAGAGCTCAATGCAGGGCTGAAACTCACGACACTGAGATCAAGACCTTAGCTGAGATCAACTGAGCCACCCAGGACCCCTGCAACGTTCTTTAAGTCTGAAATTACACTTTTAAAATTCTTAAATTAGATATCTTTTCAAGAGTTTAATCAGCAAACTAGTATGTTAACTATACTGCACACTGTGATCCAGTTATGTTCCAATATGCTGAAATCTAACATTGCCAAGAGTTTACATGTTGAAAGGATTTAAATTAAACAATAAAACAGAGCCCATTCTCTATCCCCAAGAGAGAAGTGAGGTTATACTCTAACGATAATACTGCTACCCTTGCCACACTGGGTTGGGTTCTTAATTCTTCCTTTTAATCACTTCCATTTCTTTGATTCAGGTGATTTCCCTGTGGAAGTCAGTTGAGCAATTAGCTGGGAAAAGAGCATAAGGGAATTTCATAAAATTTACCCAATGCAAATGTTGTTCCATCACCCTCCTGAGAGAGAATCTGACTGTCTAGACCCAAACTTCATAATGTAAATAAAAGAAATTATTGGAGTAATCAATTTTAGTTCCTGTAATTGAATGGTTTGATTGAATAGAATAATTAAAAAGTGAGAAGCTGGCAGTCTGTTCATAATTGCTTCAACTCTCACATGTCCCCAGATGACATTTATTATTGATCTCTTACACTAAAATCTGGGAATACTGACATGTAGTTAACTCATTAAAATCAAGAACTACTTTCATACACTGATAATATAAACCAATATATGAACCATTTGACGAGTTACCTTTTTTTTTTTAAGATTTTATTTATTTATTTGACAGACAGAGATCACAAGTAGGCAGAGAGGCAGGCAGAGAGAGAGAGAGGAGGAAGCAGGATCCCTGCAGAGCAGAGAGCCTGATGCAGGGCTCAATCCCAGGACCCTGGAATCATGACCTGAGCCGAAGGCAGAGGCTTTAACCCACCGAGCCACCCAGGTGCCCCTGACAAGCTACCTGTAAGCATGTAGCTTACAAAGAAGGGCCTCTGAAAATAATTTGTCATCACACTGATTATTAGAAGTGCAGTGTTTTAAAAGACACGGGCTAAGATGACAGACAGATTAACAAATCAGAGTGAATAGCTAGGATTTAAAAACACGTCTCCTACCGGTGGCAAAGATCCTCCAGGCATCTGGTACATCTGCACAGGGGGCCCCGGGGCTGGAGGATGGACAGGATGGGCTGGTGTCTGGCACTGCTGCAGCTGCGGTGGTGCAATGTAAGGATTGGCCCTGCTGCTCACAGGGGTATGACGATACGGATTGTGTCCTTGTTGGGGTGCTCCTTGCGGTGGGCTCCCAAAATTGGAAGGAGGGAGACTACCCGGCTGAGAAGGCAGGTAAGCATTCATTCCCATCTGTGAAGGTGGAGCACCATACTGAGCCTTCGAAATGGGCGGTGAACACGCATTCAACCCATCTTGGGGTCCAGTTGTAAAAGGGAGAGCAGCAGGGGACTTGGAGAATGCGGAGGGCCCAGCTGACGTTGCCACAGTCGTTAACGGTGACTGTCCAATATTCCCAAAAGGATCACTACTGCTTGATACCTGAGAGAAATAACTAAATGTCTGTGGGGTAGACGTGTGAGCCGAAGTCTGACCGAGGAAGCTGTCCTCCTCACCGACATCCGTGGAATCCTCTGAAAGGGAGAGCAAACGGTTTAAAGGTTCGTCTACGGCTCTGCAGAGAGGATCCAACACGGCAGATCTAGCAACTGTACCTTATTTTATTGTTCTATTTCTGCATTACAGAAAAAAAAAAAGATGAAAACCTTTTTTTTTCTTCAAAACGAAAAACCAGAAAATACGAATAAGAAACAAGAAAAAGAGAGAAAAATTAGATTTCACTCATAAGCCAACCTCTCAGAGATAATCACTTTGGTACATGACCTTTTACATTTTTTGAATAAATACAGTTAAGTATTTATTTTGTAAATATATATAGATCACATCTATTTGTTTAAGGATGTTTTCAAGAAAGGAAATGAAATTTGTATCTACAATGTTTATATCTCATTTTTTCCTGGTAAAAAAATAATTCAAATATTATTCTACTACCAAATTACACATAATTTTATTTCTACAACTTAAGTGCAGATATGACTGTGTTGACAAGAAGGGTGTGTTTCAGGACTGCTACCTACTACAAAGCACTCATTGTACAAATGAACATGTGGCATTTGTATTCCCAAGGCAAAGTAGGTCAACCATTTATTACCATCCCTAAAATCACACAGTATCACATCCAGGTAACTAGCCTTTAGAGAATGTCAAATCGGGAGAAAATTCATTTTCTAACCAAAGGACGTTCTCTTCACTTCCCTTTGCCAAAAATGATTTTCACTGCAGGTACTATCAACCCCAAATTATCTTCTCTTCTGCGACCAAGCTGTAAAATAAAAGCCTGTTCCCTGGGACGCCTGAGGGGCTCAGTCAGCTAAGTGTTGCCTTCAGCTCAGGTCATGATCCGGGGGTCCTGGGATCAAGTCCCTCATTGGGCTCCCTGCTTCTCCCTCTCCCTCTGCCTGCTGCTCCCCCCGCTTGTGGGCGTGTGTATGCGTGCCCGCGTGCACACACACTCTCTCTCTCTGACAAATAAATAAAATCTTAAAAAGGAAAAGAAAAAAGCATGTTTCCTCTACACGACCTAAAAAGTCCAGCCTCTTCTTCCTTACTAAATTTTTATAAGCCCTTACCTTAGCTTGTAGAAACTTTCCTCTCCCTCGTCTTTTCCTCCTCCAGTCTCATTCCCTCTTATCTCCTGCTGCTGGAGGCACAGAGCCCAACAGAGGACCCACACCCAGCACACAGCACGCTGTGATCCTTGCTCCCGAGTGGCCTTTCAAGCTCCAGGATCCTTCTTGACCTCTGCTGAAGGAGGCCACTTGGCTCACAGAGATTCTGGCTTGAGCTTCTAGGTTGCTCCCATTATATTCCTCACACATCAATTTAACTAAGATACTCCACTATTTAAAATACTCCTCTCAGTTGTTTCTTTGTAACTAAAAATAAAATATCACCTCCTGCACAAAGCCCTTTGTCTGCTGGTTCTATTCTCATTTTCAGATATATTTCAGTTCCCACTCTCTCTCTTCAACTGCCTGGACCTCACTTGTCTGTATTTCTCAGTTTATCTCTCAACAACTAAAAACATGGAGTGGAGAAAACCTCTGTGGTATCCTTCTTCCTTTAAGACAACTTGGGATCAACCTGATCTAAGAAACTTTTTTCTGATTAGCATCCATCGTAAATGAAATGCTGATCTCAACGTGCTACCAGCTCACCTCAGGGGCACTTTCTGATTACACGTGGACACATTTGGTAAAGACACCCACAACTTTAATGGGCACTTGTACACCTGTGACACTCGCAACTCTGTCTCAAACCGAAACTGTTCTCAGGTGTTCCAGAACCTATTACCCAACTGCTTCCTCAACACTTCTGGCAGCTCAACCACATACACCTCAAACTTAGTAAGCCTGGAAATGAATCTGTCACCTTAACCGTCTCCCTTCTTGCGCTTTTACTATACTATCTCAACAGATGTTTGTCAACATCTATTCAGACACTCAAATCAAAACATCTCCTAGACTCCTCCCCTCCCATCATTTCTCAATTCCTTCATTTAGTCATTCAGATACTCATTCAAGAAACATGTACACGGCATCCAGAGGCAGATACGTTGATTTCACAGACACTTACATAACACTAGGTGCCAGACACTACACTCGGCACCTTACAAAAATCAATTCACTTCTCCTGACAGCCTTATGAGGCCGTACAGATAAGGAAAGTGAAGCACAGAGAGGTAAAGTAACATGCCTGAGGTCACAGAGCAAGTTACCGGCAGAGCCTGGGCTGGAACACAGTCTGTGCTCCCAAATACCATACTCTGTATTATGCCACACAATCATTAAACAGCAATACCCCTAGACAATAGTAAAGAAGTGAAAGAGCTAGGATGAGCATAGGAATGGGGGCCAAGGAGAACGAGAAAAAGCTTCTCAGACAAAGGGAAGCACTGTCTTGAAAGATGAGTACTGCATTCTGTACCTCTGCTTTGCAAATATTACAAGTCTATCCCAGGAGAGGGAAGCTGTCCATCCAGGACATTTCCTGCCGCATCCTAGTTGAGAAGCACTAACTTCTCTGCATTCCCTAGCACACCAGTAGGTGTTCAACAAAAAACTGGGTAATGTCAGTGCCAGCGTGGAGCGGCCAGCCCTCGGGACAGAGGGCTCCTTGGACGAAGAGCAAGCCTCCTGATCTAACCCCCGCTTGGGATATCTCAAAGCCCCCGGGCCACTCAAACCTGATCACTGATGGCCCAGGCAAGCTACCCGGAGTCGGGTACACACGAAGGAAAACCTCCCACCCGACCCTCGTCGCCCCACGCCCCCACCCGCCTCCCCACACACACTCGTCCCACCGGATTCCCCTCTCCCTACTACCTCCGGGCAGGAGCAAGGAGGCCGAGGCAGCGGCGGCTTGGGTGACTGGGATGAAGGGCACGTTGAAGCTGAATTCCGTGGCCGAGGAGGAAAAAAGTAAGTTAGTGCCCGATGAGGAGGTGCTGGCGGGACCGCCGCCACCGTTAGGTTTCCTCTCGGCCATGGCTGCCTCCCACCGTCCGTTACACGTCTCCGGGAAGCCGGTGCACTACCACCGGCCGGAAACCGGTCACACTCGGGGCCAACACATTTCCGCACTTGCGCACAAGGCCCGGAACTCCGGGACGCCGGTCAGCCTCCTTCCCTTCCTCTGGAAAGCGCCGCCAGAAAGCAACATGGCGGCGCTGGCTTCAAGCCCGGGTCCTAGCACGTAATACTCCCCGGCGCTGCCAGGGCCGAGGCTGGGGCTGGAGCGTGGGTGTAGCGGTGCTGCTAGTTCTGAATTTAGGCGCGAGCTGATGCTGAGTGGCACGGGTTGCGGGGGGCACTCTGGACTTCCTAAAAGTACGGTCGGGCGAGTGTAACTGGCAAAGATTTCGAAGGAACGGCAGAAGGCTGCAGGAGCAGACAGCGGAGTGCTACCCGCATTGGGAGGGAAGAAGAGGTGTGTGAGCCATTTGTAGCCAAAGCCGAGCCCAGTTCACCCACGCTCGTACTCACAGCCAGCCCGCCCACATGTCTTTCTGGACTGAACTGAACTCTTTCTGTTGGCCCAGAAATAGAAATGGCAAAAACTTTGGAAGTTTTTAAGCCGTGTTTAAAAGAGGATCCACAGAATTGAAATTTAGAGGTGCTACTTTTAAAATAGCTTTCTATATCTGTCTGCAGTAATCAGATTAGCTGAATCCCAAAATGCACTGGGGGTGATTTGATGTAATTGTCATCTTTCATGTAGTTGGAGATTATGAAACAAAAAGTAACAGATAAGTAGCTTTTTGAAGAGTGGGAGAGGAAGACAGACCCCGAAAGAGGCTTTGAAATAACGAAACACCTCCCCACAGCTGTTCACAAGCCTATAGAACCTATTTAATTAATTCAGTAACTATTTAGTGTGCTTACTGTCAGAGATAAACAAGGCCAGACACTGGCTAAAGCAGTAAGAATAGATTTTACTCAGTAACAGCAATTACAGCAGGAAAGAGGGTACATCGTGAATTGAACTGAACTTCCCCCAAAATAAAAAGACTGGAGACTTTTTAAAGTCTGGGGTGCTACCGGGAAAGCATCGAGAGGTGCCAAGGGGTGTTGGTCCATGGGACTAGGCCACCCAGGCTTGTTAATTGGCATGTACCTGGAGGAGAAACAAACTTCTCATCTCTTTATGACAGCCGGTTACACAAGTTAGGGCAATACACCACCAGGCAGGGAGGAGATGGGCCTTGAGAAGACAGTTCTGTGTGGCAGAAAATTGTAAGGGATTGATAATTGCAAGTTTTCTAAAATAACTATGCTGAAAGGGAGCTCAGGGGCCTATATGCCTAGCACCAAGTTTGGGCTGGAACAAACAGTAAATTCCCCCGGCAGTGTTGGGCTTTCTCAGGGCAGGCATGTTTAGGAGGATTGGGGTCAGTCTAGGGACATGACCTTAAACTGCTAGAAGGTTGCTAAATTTGGTCAAGGAGAGTATCTTTGTCATTCCTATGGGGTAGGAAAGAGTATAGTAAACATTGAGAGTACGGTGGTGTGTAAGATAGATACAAGATCCTCCCTTCTTAGACCGTATACTTTGGCTGGGAAGACAGAAAACTAAACACATACTGACAGTAAACTATAAGTGTGATGAAAGTTGTAATATAGAAATTCCCAGTGTGTCATGTGGGATATGGACACCACCAGGGGAGGGAGGCCTAACCCTTCTGTGGAGAGAGATAGCAAATATTTAGACCAATCAGACCATCAATAAAGGACCTGCATAGTGTTGAGTGACAAGAAAACCTTCTTTGAAGAAAAATTAAAGTCGGAACCTGGAAGACAATGAGGAGAAGCTAACTAGAAAATTTGGTGGGGAGGTTTCGGAGGAAGCGGTAAGAGGTCATTTCAGTAAAGTCGCAGTAGGTAGGGATACCCTGAGACACCACGTTTGGGTGTGAAGAGACACACGTGTTAGAGTCGGGCTGGAGCCCAATGACCAACTGGGAGAAAGTTGGGAGATGAGAATGAAAAATTCGGCGAGGCCAGATGATGCGGGGTCTTACAAGTGAAGAGCAAAAGGGAATGGAAAAAGGGTTGAAAGGAGGGCGGAGAAATAACATTTGCTCTGCGAGGGTCCACTCTGACTCGTGGGTAGCAGCATAGAGGAGGAAGGAGCAAGCTGCAAGTAGGAAGAGCAGCGAGCAGGCAGTGGCGGAGGCTCACATTAGACCACGGCAGTAGGAATGAACAGAAATAGGAGTTACTTCTGGGGAAAGACGTCAGATTGAACCAAAGTGTCATTTTCTTCCTCCCGAAGCCCTACTGAAAACACAAATAGGTGGGGGATCCTGGATGGCTCAGTCTGTTAAACCTCTGCCTTCAACTCGGGTCATGACCTTGGGGTCCTAGAATCGAACTCCTCCGCTTTGGGCTCCCTGCTCCGTGGGGAGTCTGCTTCTCCCTCTGCCCCTCCCCGCTGCTTGCACTAGCTCTCTTGTGCTCTCCCGCTCTCTCAAATATATAAATAAAATCTTCCCCCCCCCAAAAAAAACGCTATTAGGTGTGTTTGTTTTTTAAACCCATAAGGATGAGGTGGTTGGGAGAGGATTTGACAGCAACAAGATTTTGCGCGCGCACACACACACGCACACACGAAATGGACTGTTAGTAGGTGATTTAGCAAACCAGTAATGGGAAAAGCGCAGGGGCAACTTTATTTGCATCATAAAATTATTTTAAGGCTCAGGTCCTGATAACCTCAGGCACCTCAGGAAGGAGCAGAGAAGCTAGAGAGAGGTCCTGTAATTAGGTAGATTGATTAAAACTGTTGGAGAAGAAGTTAGGCCCCTTCCTCCTACTCCAAGTAACTGGACCACTAACCATCCCCCTTCTAGAAAAAAGACTGTAACTTTTCCCTTCTGGAGTGGGCAACAGAAGGAACACTAAGCAAATATGTGCTTACTGAATAATCAAATACTCTCTCCCACAACCCCAGCCCAGTTTCTCTACTCAGCTCTAAGAAGACTGGCTGACAGGTCTTCAACCTCTAGGCAGAAGATTAGAAGAATGCTCTTTGGGGCATGGGAAGGAGAGATGTAGAGATGCTGAAGTCAGTCTTCCCAAGGAAGATAGTCCAGCCAGATCGCCTCATAATTAAGCTCACAGTCAACAAGACCTATTTATATGCTCTGAGCTCCCAATCACTTTGTTAGTCGCCGTGATGTGGGACACAAAAGCAGAGGAAATGCAGATAAAAATTAAATCTCCTTATAACCTGCAGACCACTGACAAGTACTTGAGATAGGCTGATTATAACTTTTCTCCAGGATCCTGAGTCTTCTTAAAATATGAAAGTCCTTTTGGAACTTTCCTTTATCATTACTTCTTCCAACCCCAAGGTATATAATCAGTTGCTCCTCACAATCCCAGGGAAGCAGAGAGTAGCAGGCAGTGACTCTTTCTGCCCATGGGTCCTATCCCTGGGCTTTAATAAAACCGCCATTTTGCACCAGAGACACCTCAAGAATTCTTTCTTGGCCGTCAGCTCTGGATCCCACCAACAAGATTTAAAAAGATGACATCACCCACACTTTATTTTTTCATTTTTATTTTTGCTAAGTATGCTCTACACCCAATGTGGGGTGTAGAGATCCAGAGTTGCATGATCTACCGACTGAGCCAGTCAGTCACCCCAAGTCCCCACACTTTAAATACAACCATCACATGTTGAGAAGAGCCTTTAATGTGAAAGAGATCAAAACAAGACACACAAAAAAGGAAGAAGAAATAGCAATGTAGAAGGAACAAGCCACCCAAGAAGTAAAAGACTTTAAAAAAATCTATCAATAATAGCCTCAGGGGCGTAAGAAGGTCTGTAACCAAGAAACAAGACTAGGATATTATTTTAAAAAGAAATGTTCAGGGAACAAACAAGCAAATCAGTAGAAGGAAGATAAATAATAAGGAAATTTCCAAAAAAGTGAAGCAAAAAGACAAACAGATGGGAGCTAAAAGAGAAACATAAGAAAATTTGAGTGCCGGGCAAGGAAAGCCAATATCTGTATATTAAGAATTCTGCTAAGAATAGAGACAGAGAAAATGCGGGGGAGGATATCATCAAAGAAAAAAAAATTATTCCCAGAAATGAAGGATACAAGTTTCCAGGTTGAAAGGGTTGAGAACCCAGCACAATTGTTGAAAACAGACAAATACTAGAACACTGGAGACAAACAGAAGATCCTAAAGATTCCAGAAAGATAAGAACAGGTCAAATGCCAAGGATTTAGCTCTCAAAACACTTACCCCCACCACCACCAAGCACACCTTCTAAGAAAGCAAACAGAGGAAGAACTCCACCAAAATAAAGGAATAAGCCAAGAAAGTCTTCTTATGTGGGATACAAGAAACACGGTGTCCAACACAAGCGTACAGGGGAATGTGAGATGTTATAACAAAAAACCCCAAAAGTGCAACAATGGCTCAAACAAAATAAACGTTCATTTCTCACTCATATAAGAGTACATGTAGGTAACCAGCTTTTCAGCTTCAGCATAAGGTTCCATAGCTGCTCTCATTCCTGCCAGCTGTGGCCACAGGAAGATGTCAGAGCTCAGGCACAAACATCTCCTCTTAACAAGTGAGGCAGCCCTTGCCCGAGGTGCTTCTGTTCACATTCCACCAGTGGGAGCTCAACAAAAGGATCTCGGTACAAGAACAGCCAGGAAGAGCGTCCCCACCTGAGCAGTTGCATCTTAACTACAATTCTATAGTTGTTCTGCAGGGAGGAAGAAGACTTAAATGGGCACATGACCAGCACCACGACAGTCTGTCCCTCTGGCCACCAAATACCAACCCATCTTCCCTAACATAGAACATACTCACTCCCCAAAGTAAGCAATCAGCTGCATTCATCTTAAAAACCCCAGGATCGCTGGGGGCAGCTCAGCCTTTTCCATGAGGCCCAGATGTGGCTCTTCCTGGGCTATGACAAGAGGAGAGGGTAATGGCCATGGAGACTCCCACTGTGCCCCAGAAGTAATGAAATCCTGCTAGGAAGAAATTGAAAATACTTCCTGCCCTGATAGTGGAGAATATTT